AATCCACAGGCTGCGAAAGGTGAACCGCGTTATAGTGAGGGACGACTGTACTTCAATGGGAGACTGCTGGGAACACCAGGAGCCACAGGGGGGCGCTAGTGCAAAAACTGCAGCTGTGTCCTTAGACAAGACACTTCACTCACATTGTCTGGTATGAAAGTGGAGTGTGTGTGAGTGATGGCGGTGGTTTCCATCAGTCTGCCACAGGGCAATTGTGGCTACTATAAGAGTTTACCATCACCAAGTGTGGAGAGAATAAATAACCTGTGTAAAGCATTTTGGGTGTCTGGAAAGGCGCTGTAAAACTCCAGTGACTAACTGATAAATTATCATCGGTTGAGTGATCAGATCCAATGATTCACAGGCTGGCGGTGTGATTCTAGCTTCCACACATGACTGCTGTTGTTGTGTCCTTGGGCAAGACACTTAACCCACCTCGCCCCCAGTGTCTGTGCACACTGGTGTATGAATGTGTGTGTGAATGGGTGAGTGGTTCCTTGATTTTAAACTCTCTGAGAACCTTGAAGGTGGAAAAGTTGCTGTATAAAAATGTGACAATTTATTATTTAAAAAAAACATTTTTCTTGTTTTTAATTTTAGGAATTGTAGTTTTATGTTTTAGCTTAATACATTTTAATGTTTTTATGTGAAATTAAATACATAATTATTTTAACTATACATGAAAATTACAGGAAACATGTTTAGACAAAATAATAATTATATTTAAGTTTAAGTTGTTGGGCTTATCTCATGTGGCTCTGTGAGGTAGGTGAGCCAGGAGTCGTGAGCCTCAGCGACGGAGGTAGAAAAATCCACCGAAATCCACACAAAGGCAGGAAGACGTGGTCCACATTTTTACTTTTTTGTTTCAATAATTTATAAAGTGCAGGTGCCAAACAGTGCAGCGTGCGGTATGGAGGTCAGGCAGCAGTTTCTCCTCCAGCAGCACAACACAGACTGATGGATGGAGGCGCCTTTTAACTCGTTTGATTGATTGGGAGAAACTAAGCAAGCTCACACAGAGATGGTACAATTATTATTAGCTTAAAAGCATTAAACAATCCATAACACAAACCCAAGAAACTATTTTAAATTCAACTATATACATGAACACCATGCACCAAGTAAAACATAAAACCAAACCAATAAACACCAATCCTGCTTTCCTTGTACATTTTCTCAGGACCAGGAAAGACAATTCAATAAATACATTTTTAAAAACCAAACGTGTGCAAAACTCTTTAATACAAAGGCTACGTTTATATGATGACAGTCTGAACACAAGACACAAAAGTGGTGTCGCGTTTTCACTTTTTATTCCACAATTAGACGAGCGTTTTTGGGAGGAAATCTGCGTGCATACAGTGATGCACAAGTGTGTGGACAGGTTTTTGTGTACTGTATGTTTGTGACGTAAACGTGTACACAACGTGAGCAGATCTGACCAGAGTTTTGAGTCTTGGGCAGTGTAGATGGAAATGCTACGGCGGACCATACTCAGCTTTTCCACTCTGGAGGGTGGTTTCAGATTTTTGTGTTTTTAAGCCCCATAAACGCCATCACCGTCTAAACCAGACATGTCAAACTCAGTCCCGGGGGCCAAATTTGGCTCACAATATAATTATATTTGGCCCGCGAGATCCTATTAAATATGTATTAGAGCTGCCCGCTGGTTACAGATAGACTATAGAAACATTATTTGTTTAAAATTTTGGGTAACACCTTAGATTAGGGACCCCATATTAAGAGCTAGTTAATAGTAAAATGTATAATAAGTGCTTAATTACATCTATGTTAGTATTTATAAAGTACTTTTAATGCATTTTTGTCTAAGGCCGTATTTTGCGAGTACTAACCCATTAGCTATTTTCTTCCCATTAAAGTATTGGAGATTACAATCAATGTTTTTGTGCAAACACTGAAATCTTAATAAGCATTAATAAGTGATTAATATCAACTAATAGATAAGTAACAGCTAATTAGCAAATCAATTACCACTTAGTTAGGTATTAATATGTGGTCCCTAAACTAAAGTGTTACCAAATGTTATTATTTTATATTTAGCTTGTTCTGGATTCAATGTTTAAGCAAAACTATTATTAAACATTTATTTTAATAAGAAAAGGTTTAACATTACATATCTCGAAAGAAGAGAAAACATGCAGATGTTGTTGAAATTTTTCAATAAATATTTAGTTTGGCCCACGACTTAGTCCCAGTTTTTAATTTTAGCCTCTGTGAATTTAAGTTTGACACCTTTTGTCTAAACAAAAGGCAATTCCGATAAAATATTTAGCAGTTTTTACCCAGAAGAGTTCTTGTGTAAACAGGTCTAAAGAGTTATCTAAAGGAGGTAAGTAAAATAATAAAATAACATCTAACAATTGTGTGTAGGCCTACCAACAGACGGAGTGTGCACACCACAGATTGAGAATCACATCTAGCTCCATGTTTCTAGCTCCAGTTTTGTAGAAAATGCAGGACAATTTCTGTCTGTTTTGTTTGCATGATGCGTCACTTTGTAGCATTTGCTGAAATAATTCAATAGACGATGTTGCACAGGACGACCAGGTATTTGAAATGCTGAAAATGACCCCTGGGATTAGTTTTCTTATCTATTTACTTCCATACCAGTTTGCCTGCTCCGAGTTCATGCTAATGCACTACCACACACGCATACGGTAAAAGGCACCCGGCTTAAAAATGTCCTCCTCCTTTACTTTGCGTGACCGGGTTAAAACAATAAAAAAAAAAAAAAAAAAGAAAAGCCCAATAATGGAATCCAACAATTTTTCCAGCAGCCAGAATTTAATTACAGTTTTCATTTACCACTGATTTGCGCTCTGCTTGTATTTGATTAAGCTCTAAACACAATTCCGTGGGTGCATATTCAATTTTGTTTGTTTTTCCTAATCCATATTTACTGGAGTTGTCGTAAAGAGTTTTCCTCAGACTCAACTCTCAGTGCGATCATTTCCAAAAGTCAGCTGCTGTTTGACCCGCGAGGATCCTTCAGGCACAAGAGGATAATAATCAGAGACACTCACTACAGTAGACCTATAGCATGTCTAGTATCATGACTACTTGGCCAGTGTTGAGAAGTATTAAATATATGTACTATGAAAGAAAAACTATGGAAAATCAGATACTAATTGTGGTCGATCCCTCTGCCACCAATCCACAATGTTAGTATTATTTCATTTCATTTACATTAAAGGTTGTATGGAGGATTTTTTTGTTTTGTTTCAAATTGTCAATGAAAGTCTAAAATACCATTACAGAGATGCAGCAGCCTTGTAATTATGATGACCAAAAAAAAAAAAAAAGAAAAGAAAATCTATCAACTGTGGATGTAGTGAGGCCAGATAAACATCAGCCAATAAAAAACAAGGCTACCTCATTTCCTATTGGCTGTTGGGTTGTCAATCAAACTCAATTAAACTGCTGTTTACTCAACCAACACAGCGGTTCTTGGCATCTTTTTCGAACTGTAGCTTCCTCTCAGTTTGCACAAAGTTTGTTGTAATAGCAGACAAGAATTCACGACCAGTTCACTGTAAAAGAAAGTCTGTTTTTGACGTCGCTGAAAAAAGAAGAGAAGGGGAAGACGAACAAAGCGCGACATTTGAAAAAGGAAAAGTAGTCGCTGCATTTCTCTTTCATTGGAAAATCTTCTGTACAACCTTTAATATTTTACTTGATTTGAGCCTTTGTTAAATTCTCTTAAATTCTCTTTTTTAACTTTATTAAATTGAAACTTATTTTTATACCTTGTCTTTGCCTTTCTGATTGGTCCACTACACTAATCAAGAGGAAAATTTTTATCAAAACTGGTTACTGGCAAGTGTTGATACAAAAAAAGTCACACAAGTACAACTATTTAGTGTTGAAAATTACATTCTATTGTCTAATCAAAGAGTATTTATTATCATCATGGTATTGGACTCTGTCTTGATTATTGAGTCAGTTCCTTAGTATCGAAATTACGTCATAAAACCGGCAGACATTTGGAAACATGCGGATGCAAATGGCCCGGTTTTCTTCATCTAGATGTCATTGTAGTCTTTCTTTTTTCCTTTTATAAATTGACTATTAATTTGTGGATTATAATTTACCTAACTTCATTTAAAAAAAAGATGTCATTGTAGTTTTCCGTTATGTTCGGCAGATCAACAGTTACAACCAGCTGCCTGTGAGTGAAATGGAAGATGCCATTCTTGTAAAGTCACGTCTCCCATGGAAAGCTTTGACAGGCTGTGCAGTACAAAAAAAGGTTGGCCATTTAAAACAAACACTTAAATCTATCAGGAAATGATTTAAAAGTAGTGAAATTATCTGTCCATGAGGCAAGATCATTTTATTTAACAAGTTATCTTAAAATAAGCAACCTCTAGACTAGAATTAATCAGTCTCAGAACTAGTAAGTGGGTAATAAATCTGAAAACAAGATGAATAATCTGATATAAGTTTTAAAATCTTTGACAGATCAGAGAAATTTGCAGTGTGAAGACGCTGCTGCTGAATCTACGGTTTTATCACATGCTCAGTGTCAGTAACAACAACGGAAGTCATCATCCGCATGTTTCCAATGTTTCCAAACGTCTTCTAGAAGGCATGAATAAGGCCTATTGTTACAACATTAATATGTATATACACCAAAGTATTTAGAATGCAAATTGTGTGTAACAATATTTAGTTAGAGTCTGCTCATCTTTCATTTGGTGCTATTCAGAATATAACTACTTTCCTAAAAATTAAAGCAATGCATTGCAGATGGCTTGATCACACCATTTAGGCTTCACAATGGAGACATTAGCCAAAAAATAAACAAAACACAGCTCTCACTGTGCTGTGCGTACGCATTAGGAGACTCTTTTTTCCCCTCTATAATTAGTGAAAACAGTAGCGTACTCTGATTGGAGCTTTTTCAATAGCCTAATGCATTTTATAACTTAGTTTTTTGTTTTTCAAGACAATACAGCCAGAGATGTATTTACCTCGTTGTGTTTCGGCAACTAGCTGCAAGAATCTTCTGTCACTGGTGGAAGTGGCATGTCCCGGATCATCTGTGGAAAAGACAATACAAGTTTATGGATTACTAATGCATTTTAACCCTGTGAGGTCTGAACCATGAAATGAAGTCTATATGGCCCATAAACAGACTGTAGAAAACAAACCCACACAACTAATTTGTGTATATATGTCTTTGTTTTTATCATATTTGATGCAGGATTTCATGAAATCATGGTGTAATCAGATAGAACATGACATGTAGGCTTGGACTGGCCCGGATTAGATTTGAACTGGAGACAGACAAAATTCTCCAGAAGGCTTGAGACTGGGTTCAGACTGGTCAAGACTATTTTGTCTTTTTTTTTTCAATAGCCGAAAGTATTTTACATTCCCTTTTAAGACAATATGGTACACAGAGCCCCTCTAATATTTACATATGTATATATTTACTCTACATACTACTCAAATAATATGTCATGTTAGATTACATTTATGTTAAAACACAATATATTTCTGTGGGTTTAATACTAATATAAAGAAATATAAGTAAATACCTTATCTCAAGTGGATTTAAAACTCAGGTTTCCTTCTTGCTTGTTGTGTGGACAAACTTTGGAGATGTCTGAGGCCTCATGAGCACCCAGACCCTCCACTGGAGTAGGTGATGCATTTGCCTTGTTGACATGTGTAAAAGCCCGGATGGCAAAGTGAGCAGTCTGACGAGGTACAGCTTGGGACTCTTCACCAGCAACAAAAAGGAAGTGTATTTACAAAAAAGAGGGTTAAAGTGTAAAAACACCCTGGCAGCAACAGCCTGTACACAACACCTCAACATTGGAGCACACGAAGCTTGGCTCCTTTTATAGAGCGCCTCCCTTAAGTGTTTCTCCCATTCTCCAGAGCAGGGATGTACAGGTGAGTTTAGTAACATTTTAAAAGTTAATCTTAGCAAAACAGTGATCACAACAATTCACTTAAATCCAAAACCAAACTAGAGCTCCCTTTATTAATTAATCAGTGTTAATTGTAGAAATCAGTCTAGATTGAAAAGCTAAAAATATTTGAACACCCCTCCTCCATGACAAGCTGCACAGGGACTGATTTGGCCAGAACACCTAAGATGGCTGACACAAAAGATTATTTTATAAACATTGTAAAACTTTGTGTTTCTGTCATTTTTACCTGTTTACTTACTTAGACCTATGTAATGGACAAGCTACATTACATACATTACATAGGCCTAAGCTCCCGGACCTCACTTTGAGAAACACTGGAGTATGTGATGTTTTTACCTCGTTGACATGTTTCAGCTGAACTGTAGCCAGAACTTTCACTGCTCTTGGAAGTGATGTGTCATATATCAGCTGTAAATGTTTTTATATCACTAATCATTCATGTCAAGCAGCTCTACACTCTCCCTTGTGCTTTTAAAAAGTTCTAGTGTTGGAGTGCCCTCTGCTGGCCGTTTGTATAAACACATCCAGCACGTTTCTAAATAAATTGCTGAATGATGCTTTTCTGACCTGAACCTGCAGCATAAACAAACTTCACTGCTGCCAGGACCTGAAAGATGAACACAAAATAATTATGTTCTAATATCGATGTGAATGAAAAGGAGCAGAAAGAAGTACAGGCTTGTAATATCTGCCCCCTTTTCACACAAAGTAAAACATTTCTAAAATGTCAACAGTTCCAACTACATTTAAAAGCAACTTGTTTACAGTTCATACTTTTCATACTACTTTTTTTAACATGATGTTTGGCATATCTTTGAAACACTTGAATAGATTTTGAAGCTTTGATTGAAACACATGTGTCCATTTTTGGTGTTTTGAACCTTTTTTTTTTTTAAAGTTTTTAATTCCTTTCCAATTATAATAACTTTCTCTCTTTGTCATTTTATTTATTTATTTATTTATTTATTTTTTGGTATATGAAAAAAAAAAAAAAAATCGCTTTTTTTCAGTTCCTTTCAAATTATAATGACTTTCTTTCTTTGTACATTTTATTGTTTTTATTTTTTGTATATTAAAAAAATATCATTTTTTTTTTTTTTTAGATTTCAGTTCCTTTCAAATTATAATGACTATTTTTTTGTAAATTAAAATTTTTAGTTTTTGTAAATTGAAAAAAAAAAAAAAATAAATAAATAAAAGTCGCTATTTGTTGTTCTTTATATAAATATATTTAACTTTATTATTTCTAAGGTCTAATTTTTTATATGTATATTTGTTCAAAGTTGTCACTAACTTAATTTCTCTGACAACATTTTGACAACCTTTGCCTGAAACACATTTGCCCATTGTTCTGAACCTGTCGTTTTTTGTTTTTGTTTTGTTTTTTTTAAGATTTCAGTTCTTTTCAAATTATAATGACTCTTTATACATTTTCTTTTTTATTTTTTGTAAATTAAAAAATAAAAATCGCGTGTCGTTGCTGTTTATACAAATATACTTTTACTTTATTATTTCTAAGGTTTTATTTTTTCATGTGTTTGTCCAAGGCTGTAACAAACTCACTTTCGCCGACAATATTTGGACGTCCTTGGTCACGTGTTTACATTTCACCTCTCACTTTTGCTCAACCAACTTTGTTTAACGTCACATCGTACGCGTGCTCTGATTGGCTGGCTGATTGGGAGGCGTTCGTGTCTCTGGACGGTGATTGGCTGAATCGCGCCGTTTCCGCTATTCCGGTAGTGTGCTCCGTCAGCGTGCACTCCAAGGAGCCTTTTTTATTTTTTACCTCTTATAACAGAAAAGATGGCGAGCTGGTGCGTCCGTGCAGTCAGACAGAGCTACTCCCTCGTAGCCTCACCCGCGTTTGTACGGTAAGAGAAGATTTAAAGCTTATTCTGATTGTTTAAGACCGAAAAGAGCTGTTATGTCATGTTTGAAACGGATCGGGTTAGCATCATTAGCAGCTACAGTCCAGCACGATCTGGCTCATGGACACTTCTAACTTCACCGATTTTATATTTTCAATTAAAATGAAGTTTATATACATTTATAATCTCTGTAGAGTTGATTTCTTGTTAATAAAATCCAGTTAAAATAGAATGTAAGCACGTGTCATTGCCACAAACAGGAAAACTGATGTAGCCAATTATATTTGTATAGATTTAGACTTAATTTCTCATCCAAAATACTAAATCTAACTTTACCAAATCTTTACCAAATCTACTGTGAAGGTCCTGTCCAGTTTCTTTCTTTCTCTTGTCTGCCCTGGAATATGGTGTCCTTTATTCCCAATTCCTGCTCAAGTTGGATGATGTAAGAGATTGACACATGAAGGGCCTCTACAGAAAACTCCAATTTGTGGAAGAAAATATGTGTGATTACCTAATATTTGTGTTCAGGTGGAAGATTAAAGTATATTTTATTGTCTCTGGGGAATTTGTCCTCTTCTTTTGACAGTCCACAGTGAAACATTAACAGTTATTCATTAGGAAAGAGCGAATGACACGACAGTTGTGAACAAACACTGAAATCCAATAGAAGCTTATTTGACCAACAGATAATAGATAATTACTAGTGAACTACTTTGTAATGAATTTACAGCAGTTACTTAGAATGTAGAATATTGCTGTCAGTCAATGAATAAATGTACACTTACCTCAGCATGAAATGGGCTGAGATTGTAAAACCCAGAGAAAAGGGCTTTAAAATGAGTTGAATTTCACATAAACAAGTAAAAGCTCATATGTTTTGTAAAATCATTTTAACTCAATTTGATTGTACATAACTTATATGTAAATTAAGTTATTTTTGCTTATTCTTATGACTATAATAAGAGTGGAAATGAACATATATAAAATGATCATTGATGAATTGATAATTGTGATAATTTTGTAAACAGAGCGTCACCGCGGTTGTTATGCACAGCGACTCAGCAGAAGAGCGGAGAAGAGGAGGCAGCACCAGAGCAGAGCACAGCTGACAAAGCTCTGCTTGAGGAGAAGACCAAACTGGAGGAACAACTTAAAGACATGACAGTACGTTTCAAAACTAAAACTGTTGATAAATGATATATGTAAAAGGTTAAAGGAAAAGAATTAAACTTTGTGCAGGTGTGACGTCACCTGCATGACTGCATGGAAATGAAAAGTTAAAACAAAACTTTTGAACATTCTTTATATGGATAAGATAGATGTCATAATGTGGAAGAGTAAAACCAAAGGTGCAACATTTCCACTGAAACCAGCAATAGTTTGGTTTAGACATGTGTGGAGGACAGAGAATATGTGGGCAGAATGATGTGGAGTTTTGATTTGCCAGTGAGGATGTCACTTTATAACATTTTAATGTTACAATTATTGTGAGAAGTTTTGGTGGTTATTTACAATTATTGAGACCACAACCCAACAACCATAAAATACTTATTTCTTTGATTCACATTGTTTCAGAGATTGCTCTTGTATGTTATGGGTCTATGGTAGTTTAATGGGTTTGGTACATTTCAGTGTAGTTGGTGCCTTCTCTCAGACTGATATGAGTAAGTAACTTTGAGAACCCTGTCAGAACTGACGAAGACACTGAGCGAGCGGCTGAACATTTTCACACTTAAAATACTTTTATCCAGTTGACAGAATGCAGTTTTATTTTGCAATGGACCCTTGGGTTTTACACAGACCTATGCTCCTCAAGAATATCCTCCTTGCCGTCCATCTCCACTCCACAGCAGAACAAGTTATTATGAATTGTGTAAAGTTGTAACCCAAAGTTTTTTCTTGACAGGAGAAATACAAGCGGGCATTAGCAGACACAGAGAACCTCAGGACGAGGAGTCAGAAGATGATAGAAGATGCTAAATTATATGGTGAGATCAGCTGCTTTTAAGTTTTTTTCTTCACAAATTTAGAAAATGCAGTTACAGTTTTGTGCCACTTGATGTCAGTAATGGCATGGGAAAATTATCTCCTTTTGATAGATTCACCAAGTGTCTTCACTGTTTGCTATTTATTTATTTATTTTAAAATGAAGTGGCTACATACACCTTTGTATAATTATAATACATAAATACAGTAAGTCTGCAACAAAAAATTATTTGGTTTAGTGGCTACTTTTTATTGTCTACCTGTTAAATTATATCTGTTATATCCTATTAAAATATGCCAAAGGGAGGCTTCTTAGTTTCAGTAACAAAGTATTTATTATGGTTAGTGTCTTTTATTTTCTCTGCAGCACTTTTGGGAATTGTGTGTTTTATAAATGTAGTTAATACGATTAACTGAGATTCAGGAGCAGGACCACGCCTCAGCCGCCCTCTCCTCTCACCGGCGAACCACAACTCACCTCGACCATGCCTCTAATTTCCCAGAAGCCTATATGTAGCAGCCTTTCCCATCATCCCAGTTTGTCTCGGCGAACTCGACCCCACCCTCCCATCCCCTATTTTGTCTTTCAGTCATAAGACCCCTACAAGGGGGGTCCCGTTCCGGCTGGGCCAATTGTAGATTGAGACGGAGCCCCCACCCATAGTCTCAACCCAGCCATCTTTGCCTCGCTTTGTACATTATCAATAAACTACTTCGCACTATGTTGTCGTTGGCGTGGTCCTAGCTAGTGAAAATGTGTTAAATCTAAATAAACTGGTTTTGGGTAATATTCCTGACTCATACGAATCCTTTTTCCTCCACAGGTATTCAGGGCTTCTGCAAGGACCTACTGGAGGTGGCGGACATTTTGGAAAAAGCCACCGAGAGCGTGCCGAAGGAGGAGGTGACCGCCCAGAACCCTCACCTGAAGAACCTGTACGACGGCCTGGTGATGACCGAAGTCCAGATCCAGAAGGTCTTCACCAAACACGGCCTGGTCAAGCTCAACCCAGACGGACTCAAGTTCGACCCGTACGAGCACGAGGCCCTGTTCCACGCGCCGGTCGACGGCAAGGAGCCGGGCACCGTCGCCGTGGTTACCAAAGTGGGCTACAAGCTGCACGGACGCACCCTTCGGCCGGCGCTAGTGGGCGTGGCCAAGTAGTGTCAATAGGTGTGTGAATGGAGCTCAGCGTGGGCGAGCTCTTCTGGGTCCGACTGTTAAAGGTGGACTGTGTAACTAACTTGTGGTGAGGAAAAGCACCACTCGCTTGTCTCCGTGGAGATGTTATTGCTTTGGAATGTTCCAGAGTTTGGCATTATACAGATCTGTCTTGAATTCAATAGACTCTAAAGACCTTTTTTTCACATCGACCCGCCTGGTAAGGTTGCAGAACTTCCTGTTAATGGTTTTCTTTGCCAAAATGTCTCTAGAAATGTTTCACCTACTCTTCACCAGCTTCATAAATCTGCCTCCTCACCAAATCTTCAACCACCAAGGTCAACAAAAAACAAGAATTTATCCACAACTATCAAGGTAAGAAAGACGAAAACTTAAAGGCGAACAACGACGACGCATTAGTGAACTACTCCTGAGCAAAACTAACATTATGGTCATGAATAAAACTTGTTCACTCAGACAGATTCTAGAATTAAAATTAAAAAAGTATTTCATGATTAAGGCTGGGTTATCATTAAGAAGTTACGATACGATACATACTTCGACACATGGGCACGATACATGTCTCGATACAGCGCAATTTCGATTTGATACGATATATTTCAAAACAATTCGATACGGTTCAATAAAAAAATAAAGGCTAAATCATGTCTGTGACACTAAAAGTCTTTGTTAAACCATTTTTTTGTTCAAAGTTCATATGAAACACAAACATTTTAATCATCAAAACAGTGAAAATGTCAAACGTGTCGCATAAACGAGTTTCCTTCCAGTGAACAAGGAACAAAACTGCAGAGCTGGAACAAAATAATTTAGTAAAATGTACCAAAAAATACTTTTGGCGATATATCAAAACAGCAGCCCACGATATTGATACTGTATCATCATATTTAACGTTATGATATTTCGATATTTTTGAAGACTTGTGCAGTTTGAATGTTGGAGATGTTCACAGATTCAAACTGCACAAATCTATCTATGTATTGCTAATATCGGCATCATGAAATCAATTTTTAATTTTAATTCTAGAATCAGTCTGAGTGAACAAGTTTTATTCATGACCATAATGTTAGTTTTGTTCAGTAGTTCACTAATGCTTCATTGTTGTTCGCCTTTACGTTTTCGTCTTTCTTACCTTGATAGTTGTGGATAAATTCTTCATGTTTATCCTTTGTCGACCTTGTTGGATGAAGATTTGGTGATAAGGCAGATTTATGAAGCTGGTGGAAAATATGGAAGACATTTACACACACATTTTGCCACAGAAAACCATTAACCAAAAGTTCCTGTTGGTCTATTGCAAGTGTTTTTTTAAAAAATACCTTAACCTGCTAGCGAGGTCGCCTCTCCACAGATCTGACTGATTATATAGCCTGGTGGAGTCACCTACTTCTCTTTATGGAAACAGATAAATGTAATGCCAAACTGCAGAACATTCCAGTCAAAAACATACATAGTGCACCGTTATGTTCATTCATTTTTCCAGTAAGACGTTAAGAAAGAAATGTATATTAAATGTTTAAAGTTTGATGGTGGTTCATCAGCTTTGGGGCCATTAATAAAAATAAATTGTGCATTTATATGTAACTTTGCTCTTAAGTTTCAGATACATACTTTGAATTAAACTGTATTAGTGCTGGGGCTGCACAGTGTTTCAAAATTTAACCAAAAATGCAATTCTAGTTGGTGAAAATATTAAATCACAATTATTTAGATAACAGAAATCTTTGCAATCCTCGCAAAGAACAAAATATCTTGATTTTTTTTAATACAGAAATCTTGTACGTGTTCTGAAACATGTTTTGAAATGCACGGGTTTGTTGTCTTCTCTCAAATTGAAATACTCCTGAAGTTGTTTACAGTGTTCACTCTGAACAGAATCCTGCTTTTTGTTGTTTCCAAAGTTTTGCAGAACTCATTTCTTTTGTCAGTTGTAGGCCTGGCTGCTGTTCAGTCATTTTGGAACCAGTGTCTAAAAACAATTCATAGTTTACATTCATTTTTTTTTTTTTGGTGTCATGAAAGACTTTGGAGCAAAACTGCAAAATTAAAGTACTTAATTTAATTCATCTTTCTACGTTTAGCTCATAGTGTCTCAGGACCTAACAGACACAAGAACGTGGTTACGAAAGAAACAAAATCATTAATTCAAATTCTATTAAATATCAATAAAAATAATTATTTAAAATTGTCATATTATTTATAATTTTTTCTGTAAGTTCTCGTTTGTCTGGCCACACTCTCTAGTAACCCCATATCTGATTAACTTTTAACTTGACTCTTAAAATATGTTTTATTCTGATGTTGTATTGGAAAAAAATGAATGGACACTTTACTTTGACATTTGTATTTCCTCCGTGGAAGATCGAGACTAAAGTGGACTGGAAATAACAACCTGTAACCCCAAGGTGCCTAAAGAGAAGTGGAACTGGACTCTGGACACTATTCAACCTGTTTTAGCAAAATACATTTAATTTTATTGATTAAAAAGTGAATAATATCTGATTTCTGTTAATTATCATTCCACCCACATTATCTAGCCCTATATTCTCGTTTTAAAAGTGTAAAAAGCGTACCATGTGAAGGTTACTAAGTGCTTAAGAAATAAAATAAAACATTTAATAAGTATTTCTCTGTCAAAATCTGAGTCTAAATTGAGTTTCTTAATTATAAACAATGGGCAGAGTCTGTTTTTAGTTATTTCAAGGTCACAGTTTATTGCAGGTGAACAGAACATTTCAAATATTGCAAAACGAGTAACTTTGTAAAACGTAATAAAGTCATAAAATGCATTTGTGTTTGTACTGAACGTGTGTAGAGGGAAATGGGAATTTTCAGAGCAACAGCATCTACAACGCTGTAAAAAAATAGATTAATCAAACATCCATGAATCACTATTAACATTCAAGTGGGTAAATGAGGAGGAAAGAAAAAACAGAAACGGCGCAAATAAGTATTTGGAAACAGAATCAGTGGTTCCAAGTTCAACTCCCGGGTCGTTCTGCGTGGAGTTTGCGAGTTTTGGGTAATCCTGACCAAGACCAACTCAAGATGCAGAGCTGGGTCAAAAGAAAAGGGCAAATTTGTTTCTGTTCAACTCAAAACATCCACAATATTAATAGCTAGTAAATAGTAAATAGTCCAGTTTATTATGAGATTTTTCACCAGTTAGTCTTTGGAAATCCAGTCAAATGTGTTCTTTCCTACAAACTGAGTAGATGAATGGTCTTTAAGTGTCCCATTGGTGTTTTTTTTAGGTTATAAAATGTGATACCATACTCCTAGATGGGTTCAAGACTCTATTTATTTATTATATTGCATTTGGCCAAGACATATCCAAATTGTAAATGCAAAAATGTCAAATCTGTTCATTTCTAGTTTTGACAAGACCATACGAGTCACTGTATTGCAAGAAGAACAACAAAAAACAGCATTTTAATCATTTATCTGTCGTCTGAAACCCCACAATATGGAAACGTGCATGGGTCTTTCAAGGGAATTTATACTCTGAAAACTGATGTGTAAATTCAGCTGCATGTATCAAGTAACTATGCAGTATCTGGTTGTTTATAGTATAGACCAGACGTGTCAAACTCAGGCCCAGGGGCAAAATTTGGCTCGCGATATAATTATATTTGGCCCGCCAGATCATTAAATATGTATTAGAGCTGCCCGTCAGCTACAGATAGACTATAGAGACATGATTTATTTAAAATTTTGGGTAACAGCTTTAGATTAGGGACCACATATTAATAGCTAGTAAATAGTAAAATGCATAATAAGTGCTTAATTACATCTTTGTTAGTATTTATAAAGTACTTTTAATAGAATTTTGTCTAAGGCCATATTCTGCGAGTACTAACCCATGAACTATTTTCTTCCCTTTAAAGTATTGGAGATTACAATCGATGTTTTTGTGCAAACACTGAAATCTTAATAAGCATTAATAACTGTTTAATTAATTAAATGTTAATTCAGTGTTCTGAATTCAATGTTTAAGCAAAACTATTAAAAACATTTATTTTAATAAGAAAAGGTTTAACATTACATATCTCGAAAGAAGAGAATTGAAATTTTACAATAAATATTTAGTTTGGCCCACGACTTAGTCCTTGTTTTTAATTTTGTCCCTCTGTGAATTTGAGTTTGACACCCCTGATTTAGACCATAAACATCTTCAGGAACGTTGAGAATTCCTGTGTTTTGTTTTGTCCTTACGGAGCGGCCCGGCTGCGTCTGTGTGCACGGGTGAGTATTATTTTTGAGAGGACCCCAGGAAGACAATCCGCCGTCATAAGAGCAGCTAATGGGGATCCTGATAAAACCATAAACAACAACAATAAACAATAAACATTAGTGTATTTAAAGTGTGGACAAATAAGTGCGAATAAAATAAGATGATATAATGAATATTTAAAGGGGCAAATCGAACAAGAAGTAGCAATGTTGGACAAACTTGGCTCCTAAAACTTTCATTATAGTACCTTGGTTCTTTGAGCAGACAGAGAAGATGTGGAAAGGATCAGTAGTTAAAAGTTTCTAAAAGCGCACGGTGTAACTTTACTGGTGAAAAATTCGCCACCTGCTTGTCTTCATAGAGATATTATAGCTCCACAGCCAGGGGTCTCCAAAGTTTTTCCTCTACTGAGCCACATTTACGAAACAAAAATGCCAGAGAGATGCTCATTTTAGCGCTCTAGCGTTTACTGTTTTGTATTGTCACTGTCCTTGACTTTTTTTTAAAAATGGACCATGAGTCCGGAATAAAGATGATGATGATGATGATATCGTATCGTTTAATGTACTGATACAGTATTGATATCGTGGGCTGCTGTATCGGTATATCGTAAGAGTATTTTTTGGTATATTTTACTAAATTATTTTTTTACAGCGCTACAGATTTGTTGATTGTTTAGAGGAAAGAACCTTGTTTATATGAAGTGGTTTAACAAAGATATTTAATCATTTAACCATTTTTATTGAACCGTATTGATTTGAAATGTATCGTATCAAATCGAAAGCTCATTGTATCGAGATATGTATCGTATCGTGGCCTATGTATTGAGGTATGTATCGTATCATCAACTTCTTAATGATACCCTAACCCTATGCACAATAGGAACAGGTGTGTAATTAACCAACGGTATAATTCTGAAGTCCCTTGGCGAGCTACTTGGACGGGGGTGGAGAGCAGCAGGTTGGAGACTCCTGCTCCACACTGAGGCGTTAAATAGATTCTCCATGGAGACAAACAGGTGCCGCCACCAGGTCAAGTTACAGGTCACGGCTGTGGAGAGGTCAATCAGCGTACAGTAGAAGTGCATGTTGTTCCAGGTGTTTTGGAGCCATGAAAACACCTGTAGTTAGGGAACTGGAAGACGGGGAAGGGTGTGACAGTAATTATTTCAGAGAGATTTGTTTAACAGTACTAGCTCAATCTAAGTCAGCTCTTTATGATCAGACTGTGTTAAAACAAACCTTAGATTAAGGTTATATCTTATCCTATTCTGCACAACAAAGGCAGAACACCGTAACATTAAGTTTGGTCAAAAATTTGTTAATGTCATTTTGGGGGTATTTGACTCTTATTTTTCAGTTCCTGTTCTCTGCCTTTGTATGATGAGCCAAAAATAAGAGTCGAGCAAAGACAAAAGGCAGAAACAGTGTATGTTTTGTTTGATTTAGTTAATAAATACATTTTATTTTAAAATCCAACCTCTCGCCTCCTTCTTTTTGTTGCATCCTTGGCACAGAGTCTTAACACATTAAACAAATAAACCTTTGTATTCAATTATACTTACTTGATCTTTAATGTGAAAGTATTTTGTATATTTATTCATACTGTACATCAGGGGTCTCCAACCTTTTTCCTCCTGTGAGCTACACTTTGTAAAATGAAAATGCCAGAGAGCTACTAATTTTAGCAGTTGCCAGAAATTTTGTAAATTTGGTAAGCCTGTGGTTGCAGCGGTATGAGGTACAGTTAGATTTCTATAAAACATAACCCATTATCCAGTTATCAGTGTACAAAATTGTAAATTTACAAAGGAAATAGGCATTTAATCAATCAAATTTTAAGTTATTCAATGCAATATGTATAATTCTGAAATCCTTTGGCGAGCTACTTGGAAGGGGGTGGAGAGCTACAGGTTGGAGACCCCTACAGTACACACTATACTGCAACGTGACTTGTCTGTCAAACTGTTTAACTGTGTAAATGTCGTCGCGCTAAACAAAAAATCCAAAGCTCTTCAATGTCATTTCAAACAAACACCATGATGACTTGACCTTGGTGAGGTGTTTTTCTTATAATGAATGGAAGTCTGGGCAAAATCAAGCAAATAATGATCATGTCAATAATGTTACTTCCTTTTTTCTTTGCAGGACTCCTTATTTTTGGCACATTAGTACAGAAACTGACAAATAAGAGTCAAAGGTCCATTTTGAGCTCAAGATTTTCGCATACAAATATTTCTTCATTATAGCAACTAGTTATCAAATTTTGGGAGCCTTACCTATTATACTTTTGTCTGGACAAAACAGAAATTTTGACGTAATTTTTCTCAGTTTCACACTCTGAAGAGTTAAAGTCCTTTTGCCTTTGTAGGACAGAATTGAAGCGCAGTGTCTTGTACTGTGACGTGTGCATTGTGTTTGTATGTTTCCCTGCTGGTGCCTCTTGGTCAGGTCATGGGAATCAGTCCTCAAACATTTGGTTAAATAAAAGGTTAAAGAAAATATGTTAATAAAATAACATAAAGCTTCACAGCCTCAGGGAATGTTGAACAGCAGGCTCTTTACAATCACACGAACACACCCCGAACCCTTTGATTTCCTATTTGTTTTCTTTGTGACATCGCATATGACTTTTCAGATGGGCATTCAAAGCAAACCGTGCGTTACAGACAGAACAGCTGAAGGGCTTTTCCCCCGTGTGCGTCCTCATGTGGACCTCGAGGTGACTCTTCCGGGCAAAGGTCTTGTCGCAGCTCGAACATCCAAACGGTTTCTCCCCCGAGTGGCTCCCCATGTGTCTTTTCAGGTTGGAGCTCGAGGTGAACCACGAGTTACAGATGGAGCAGCTGTAAGGTTTTTCCCCTGAGTGACTCCTCATGTGGCTTTTCAGGTTTGAGCTAGAGGTATACCGCGTGTTACACATCGGACAGCTGTAAGGTTTTTCTCCGGTGTGCGTTCTCTTGTGATAGATGAGCCCGGAGATGTTGGTAAAATCTTTGTTGCAGATTGAGCAGCTGTAAGATCGCTCACCGGTGGGAAGTCTTTCAGCTGCTCCCGGGATGTCTCCGTTGTAAATAGCAGCGCTGGTCTCTGCTACAGGCCCGTACAGACTGAAGTTTTGTGCGGTGGCGGTTCTGGCCATAAACTGGACTTGGTTGTTTCCGTCAATCTCTGTGTCCATCTGTACAGTCGAACAGCTGAGCGGGGCGGTCCAGTCCACCTCATTGTCGGACAAATGCTCCATGTCTCCCTCCGCCTCTGAGTGGAGATGTGCCTCGGAGCTGATGTCCTCTCCCAGTGTTTCCTCATCCTCTTCCACCTCTTCTGTCTTCACACGCACAGTGATGTAGTCTGGGATAGTCCTGAAACAAACAAACAAACGTTACTGCTACAGTGGAATATTGAGATAAACTATAACTGTGACTCTTTTTTCACACGAAGTACCAACAAAAGCCCTATTCGCACGGGATAAGTACAACCTGGGAACATGTGATAATTTGCAAATTACCGCCCCACCTCTGTGTTACTTGCGCATTCGCACGGGATAAGTAAAGTCCGTAAATTACTCTATTTTACTGACAGTGACAGAAACTGAAAGAGAAAAGAAAGAGAAAGGTGCGCAATTACAACAATTACAGATTTGCACGGAACTAGTGTTATCATTGGACGTCTGTGTGAACTATGGTAGGTAATTTGCTGCAGAATTTTTACTTTAGAAATTATAGACATGGTGCATTCGCACAGGATTAAGATCTCAGGCATCCTCCGCAAATATTACAAATCACCAAAGGTCCACAGGTTATACTAATCCTGTGCAAATAGGGCTAAAGAAAAGATTTATAAAGCCCTATTCGCCTGGGATTAGTATTATCACGGCCCTGAAATCATACCTTCAGGTCTACATCTACTGATGTGCTTAACAAACTAGACGGGACACACAGTGTCTAAAAACTCCTTTTTGGTAACCATGGACATTGAAGCACTATATACTAACAGAGATCACAGCGAGGCCTTGGAAGCCGTACATCACTTTTTACAACTGAGGCCAGATAGTCCGTTTCCTCCTACAGACCTTATAGTAAAACTCACAGAGTGGACTCTTAAAAAACATGTATTTCTGTTCCTGGATCGACTCTACAGACAGACCACGGGCACAGCCATGAAAGCTGCATATGCCTCCAACTATGCAGGCTTATACATTGTGGGAGGAGAGGACCGTCTATGACCATTCAAATCCCTTCAAAGACAATATCCAGTGATACGAGCGCTACATTGATGACCTCTTTTTCCTTCAACTTATAAGTTTCCATGAGTACCTTAATAACACAAATCAACATCAAACATCAGACTGTCAGACTACAATAAACTTCTTGGACCTTTAAATTACGGTTGATGACACGGGAAAACTACAAACATCCATCTACAGAAAACTGAGTGATTGCAACATCATCCTTAGAGCTGAAAGCTTCCACCCACAGTCATTGATATCAAATATACCGTTTGGTCAATTCCAGCGCCTTAAAAGGATATGCAATACAGAAAAAGTCTTCAAAACTCACTCAAAAGAATATGCACAGGAGATTCCATACAAGAGGATACAAGAAAAAAAGACTTGGACTGTTGTCAAAAGTTAACAAAATTCACAGAAAGGATCTTTTACAAAAAAACAAAAAGACAGCCACAGAGTCCTTCTATATTTTTCTCTACACAATATGGTGATCTTTCCTATAAAATCAAAAATATAATATGAAAGAATTGGAGTATACTCCAAAGTGGTCCCGGTCTCGCTCCAGCCTTCTAAAACACTCCTATCTGCACATATTGTAGGGCTCCTACCCTTAGAGACCACCTAGTGACAAGTCACTTACCTGCTCAGAAACATTCCACTATCACAGAAACAAGGCACTTACAGATGAGGCATTTGCAACCACAGTAACAATGTGGTAAAAACAAATTAATTCAGAGACACAACAAACTTTATGCAGAGGCTTCGCAACATGCAACACCACTTTTGTTGTATACAGGTTGGAGTGTGAATGCGGTTGTGTTTAGGTTGGCAGGACGAAACGCAAATTTAAAGAATGCCTGGCAAGAGCATAAATATGCCATTCGCACACAAAATAGTGATTATCCTATGGAAAAACACTACAAACGGGTTGGTCACAGTGACCCAAATACTTTAAAGGCCATGGTGACTGAGCATGTACCAGAGAACCTCAGGGGAGGAGATAGACTAAAACACCTTTTACACCATGAGACTTACTGTATTGGATCCACAAATTAAGAGCTACAACCTCCCCAGGATTAAATGAGGAAATGGACCTCTCACCTTATCTGTAACACTCGGATTGCAGTTTTTCATATTTACAGCTCTTGCCAATGTCTGTGCCATAGTACTTTACAATATAATATTATTGTATAACAGTATAATATTCACTAGTGTATAACTTTGTAATTGTGTACTGCTAGATTTTCTGTATGAGCGTGCACCACTCTGTCCACAGAGCAGAGGTTACGGGTGCCTGTGCCCACATTGGTGCACGCCCATATTATTGTGATGCATCATTTTGTCCCCTTTTTAAATATGTATGTCAAAAAATGTATATATACATATATGTCATGTCATCATGTGATTTGAACATTTAAATATCTCCAACACACACCTGGGAATTTAACATTCACTGATGAAGATGCAAGTTGAAACGCATTTGAGATTAAATAAAATCATAGCAAAGTCTAATAAGAGTGTCTCGGATCTCCTTTTTTCATCCAGTAAGTCATTTGTCCACTTGGGATCTCCGAAGAGCACCTGATCACTTCAGCGGTGATCCAGCGAGCGCTTTAATTACCATCTGCTTCTTCACATGAAACACAAACATTTTAATCATCAAAACAGTAAATATGTCAAATGTGTCGCATAAAAGAGTTTCCTTCTTCTAAACAAGCAACAAAACTGAAGCGCTGTAACAAAATATTATTAATTATACCAAAAAATACTCTTGGCGATATATCGATACAGCAGGCCAAAATATCGATGCTGTATCATCGCATTAAACGATACGATATATTGATATTCTGATATTTTTGCACATCCCTAGTTACAATAAGAAAATGATGTTGGAAATGGCCACAAGAAATTAACTATTGATCTGTAATAATTAAATAAATGAATAGATACTAACCAATCTAATCTCAGTAAAAAATACATTAAATACAAATACTGAGTTGGATGTGTTTAAAGTTTTTGAGACTCACACTTGCAGCTGCTCCTCCTCCTGCTTGATGCTCCAATCCTCCGGTTCCTCCTTAATCTTAGGAGTCTCTGGGGGTTCCTGTTTCAGACCTGGACCAGGACTCAGAGGGGGGGTCTGGCCGCCTGCAGGAGACAACGAGGACGATACAGTTTTCAAATAATTTTCTTCTACTTTAAATGTGCTTCATACAACTTTTAAGGTTGAGGGAAACTGTCACCTTGTAGTTTTCCAAAGAGATTATGTTATTTCTTGCCTTTAATGTTCCAAAAAACTTAACTAAATTGCATCTGGTAGGCATCAGCGTTATCTGTGTTAGATTTTATTATTATTATGTATATTATGGATTTGTTGATTTTGGTTTATGATGAAGTATGTCATCTATGCTTTATCCCCGACTCAAAATACAGCAGAACAATGTCAGAATCTTATTAGACATATTTTTAAATCAGATTTTTTTGTTGTCAAAGTCTAATCCTCACATCTACACAGCTCACAAAATCCCGTAGGTCTCAACGTCTTAGAACAAAAGAGCTGTATTGGAATAAAAATAAAAATCCTATTGGAATCCAGCTCAGCATTGCGACATCTCAGAGAACCAATGCCAGTGTTCACATTTAAGAATTTGGTTGTTTGCCTGGAAGAACCTGCCGTAATTTCCGGACTGAATATAAGCCGCATCAACTGTATTTTGTAAAAACTTGTACATATGTAGGCCGCACCTGAATATAAGCCGCAGGTGTCCACGTCTTCAAAAACGTTTTCAAGTTTGAGCCGTCTGCTTTTTTTGCCTCTGAAAGCTTTTGTCGTCTTTTTGCATCGAGTCAGTTCGTCGCGCTGCCGTCGCCAACGTCTCACCATCGACTCATTGATGCCGAGCGCACGTGCAGCAGCTCTGTTTCCTTCTTTCACAGCCAGATCAATCGCCTTTAACTTAAAAGCTGCATCATGTGCATTTCTTCGTGTGTTCTCCATGAGGAGGGTGTGTGCATGAAGCGCAAAATAACTGTTCAAAACACAATCAAACGAGCATCTTCCTCGACGCATCACCACCGTCTCTCCTCGCGCTCTACTGCGTAGAAAGAGATGCTGTCCTGTCTGGAATCATGTCATTGTCTTGGAGGATTTCAGCAGATTTCAGGCTCTCTCGGGGGTGGGGTTAGTTGTCTCGATCCGGCTACTGAAGTTTGGGACATTTCTTCTCGTCATTTACGCACTCACCTGCATTTAACACATACGGGTCATTAAGACGTATCCCACTCATTAACGTTCATTTAGCATCATCATTTATTTTATTACACTGTTTCAGTGCTGAAAACAGCTCTACCTAAAGCTGCAACTTTAACCGCACATACAGCGGTGCTTTCTGCATCAGGCTGCACAAATAATCCATCCATATATTCGCCGCATCGTTGTTTAAGATGGAGGGTTCAAAGTGTGAGAAAAAAGTAGAGGCTTATAGTCCGGAAATTACGGTAATTTGATTTTTTATTACACATAAACTAAAGAGGAAACAGTTAAAGATGCATCAGATTTGTTGGTGGGAATGAGGAGAAATCAATGTGGACCATTCTCATATTTTGGAAATATCAAATATCACAGTATTTTAGGAAATGGTTTGTGATGTACTGGGGCAGGTGCTGCTGGGATATTCTGTTCCTCTGTCACCTGAACTGGCCTATCTATACAACTTCTCAGAAGACACTATTCACCAAAACGATATATCTGTTCAAAGTGATGTCATTAGCTGCCAAATAATCAATAACCAGGAGCTGGAGCACAACTACTGTGCCCTCAAAGCATCAGTGGACATCTACAATAAAAGACAACTATCTAATGAAAAAAAAAAAACCTCAGACTGAGATTGTAAGAGCATCAAATTAAGAAAAAAATTTACATTATATATGCAACAGTAGACTATCCTAGAGTCACCCAGGCTTCTGTTCCTGTTTTGGAATGATAAAACAGTAAAAACAAACCAATAAAAGCAAAGTGACATAAAAGAAAAAAAAAAAGAAGAATTGGTAGTTTCAGATGGAGGCGGTGGTCCATATAAAATAACTTTATGGAAGTGTCACTGTTTTTGAAAGAAATATCCACAATTATGATCCATGAATGCTGAACTTAATTTGTCTGAGAAATGCTACAAGTGTTCTGTAATATTCTTATGTCTCTAAGTCCTTTCAACTGATTTGGGGTTGAATAACGGCACCAGTAGAACGTGACTCCAAAAGGTAAACTCACAAATGTTAAGCCTGGTATTTCCAATTATTCACTAAATCCTAGAACTCACTACCGTATATTACTACATCATTTTGCATTTTAACCATTTTAATTTTAGCTACTCCCCATCTGTATTAATTAATATTGGCCTAAAGCTCAGGTCTTTTAATGTGTGCATCAAGTTACTGGAGATTTTCTTCCGACAACAGTACAATAACTCACCCACTGCACCCACTGCACCAGACTATAGGGAGACAGATGAGATAATACTCCCTACAACTGTACAATAACTCCCCCACTGCACCAGACTATAGAGGGACAGAGGAGCTCATTCTCCAGCAGGCTCCTACAGCTCCACACAAACACTGAGAGATACAGGACTATTCATACCATACTCCATACAAATGTACAATCAATCACGCTTATGTAACATGTAATACTCCCTATAACCGTATAATAACTTACCCTTACGTAACAGATAATATTCCCAACAACGGCACAACTCACTCTTACGTAACATTTAATGCTCCCTACAACTGTACGACAACTCACCCTTACGAAACAGATAATACTCCCTACAACTGTACAACTCATCCTTATGAAAGAGATAATACTCTCTATAACTGTATAATAACTCACCCGTATGTAACAGATAATACTCCCTACAATGGTACAACAATTCAAACTTACGTAACAGATAATATTCCCAAAAATGGTACAACTCACTCTTACAAAACAGATAATACTCCCCACAACGGTACAACAATTCAAACTTACGAAACAGATAATACTTCCTATAACTGTATAATAACTCACTCTTACGTAACAGATAATACTCCCTACAATGGTACAACAACTCATCCTTATGTAAAAAATAATATTCCCAACAACTATACAACTCACCCTTACGCAACAGATAATACTCCCTACAACGGGACAACAACTCACCCTTACGTAACGGATAATACTCCCTATAACTGTATAATAACTCACTCTTACGTAACAGATAATACTCCCTACAACGGGACAACAACTCACCCTTACGTAACAGATAATACTCCCTATAACTGTACGAAAACTCATCCTTACGAAACAGATAATACTCCCTACAATGTTACAAGAACTCTTCCTTACGTAAAAGATAATATTCCCAAAAACGGTACAACTCACCCTTATGTAACAGATAATACTCCCTATAACTGTACAATAACTCACCCTTACGTAACAGATAATACTCCCTTCAACTGCACAATAACTCATCCTTATGTAACGGATCACCCTATGTCCTGGCAATCCTCATATCATGGTTGCGCTGTCTTTCTATGACCTCTTGTATATAGCTGAGATTTTATATTTTATTACTTGTTTTTCTATTTTATTTTGACTTGTACATTTACATTTATACATATTAAGTCTTACTTGACACTTGTCTCTTGTTATTTTTTTGCTACTTATTTTATCATTTATATTTTTTGTCTTTGTTATTATATTATATCATGATATGTGAGCTACTGTGTCCCTTGTGGATCAATAAAGTTTGTCCAAGTCTATCTCTAAAATGCTACGATGCCATCTGAAACCCAGGAATTGTGAAAAAATAATCACATTTGTTAGTTGTTTGTTAGTTTTTGTTTCATGTGAATAGCCTTTAGTAATTACAGAGATATTAGCCATCAAGTATGTCAACAAATCTGAAATCTTGACAGCTAAAGAGCCAATTCCACTAAATCCTTTCTGACCTGAATTCCAGCTCAATTTTGAACATTAAAAACACACAAAAATGTAATTATAACAGCGTTCATTCAAGGGATTTTGACCCTGGGTTGGTAAATGTAGGCTGCTTGGAGCTTAGTGACCCAGCAGCTTAGCTTATCGTTGTTCCATAGCTCTTTTGTTTACTTAACTTTTATATATTTTTACATGTTTTTACTCATGTGGGTTATATCTAAGAAAGGTTGGGTCGTGTGTCCAGAAACGTAACTTTAGTTTTTGACGTTTGATCACGAGCTTTTGTGAGTCAAATCAAGTTGTTGCCTTTACAATCATGGCGTCCTGCTGCTAACTGAGCGTTTACTACATAATACATTCAGCAATAACACGCGTCGCTAGGCCGGGATACGAGACTCACCAGCTCTGCACACCATGGTCATGTTCTCGGGCTTGGATCATCCAGAAGCGGGTCCGGAGCTGCGGTGGTTTCGCTCGGGTTCTGTGTCCGGGGCTGTCACAGTTCCGTCTCGTCCTCTGGTTTCCTATCGCGCTGCTTACAAACAGCGCAAATCTCCCGTGATACGTTATCTATAAAGCGGGTTAAGAAACGCTAGAGGGGAGGTGGACTCTGCTGTCGTGGCAAATGCGGCGGCCATCTTGTGACTGTACGAGCAGCAAAACTAAGGTGATCAAAAAAAAACAACAAACTGGGACATTGTTATGCACTCGGCACTAATGGTTTAGTCCTGGTCTAATACCTGGTTTAGTCCTGGTCTAGTACCTGGTCTATTCCCCGTCTAGTATCTGGTTTAGTCCTAGTTTAGTACCTGGTCTAGTCCTGGTTTAGTCCAGGTTTAGTCCTAATTTAGTCCTGGTCTAGTACCTGTTTTAGTCCTAGTTTAGTGACTAAACTAGACCAGGTACTAGACCGGTTAGTTAGTCTAGTCCCAATCTAGTATCTGGTTTAGTCAAGGTCTAGTATCTGGTTTAGTCTTGGTCTAGTACCTTATAGTACCTGATTTAGTCACGGTCTAGTACCCGTTTTAGTCCTGGTATATCACATGGTCTAGTCTCGGTCTAATACCTGATAGTACCTGTTTTAGTCCTGGTCTATTACATGGTTTAGTCCCGATCTAATCCCGTTGGTCTAGTTCTGCTTTAGTATCTGGTTTGGTCCTGGTCTAGTATTAGTTTTAATCCCGGTATATTACATGGTTTAGTCCCAGTCCAGTACCTGGTCTAGTCCCGGTCTATTACATGGTTTAGTTTGGAATTGGACACTTTATTGATCCACAAGGGAAATGTTTTTAACACAGTAGTTTACACATCACAATATAATATTGTAACAAAGACTTAAAAAAACATAAATGGTAATAATAAATTCTAAATAAATAGCAAAAAAGAGCAAGAGACGGGTGTCAAATAAAGCATAATTATATTAAATGTATATGTACGAGTCAAAATAAAAAATAAGTAATAAAATATAAAATCTCAGCTATTTACAAGAGGTCATAGGACGACAGCAAAACAGTGATATGAACTTATAATTTGAATTTAAAAATAATAATGCATGAGTTTTATATAGTGCTTTTTTGGACATTCAACGCTTTACAGAGCATTATTCATTCACTCCAGACCCATTGGTGGTAAGCTCCTACTATAGCCACAGCTGCCGGGGGGGCAGACTGATGGAAGCGAGGCTACCAATCTGTGCCATTAACCCCTCCGACCACCACCAACATTCACGCACACACCACTTTCATACTAAATAAGTTATGTTTGTATGTCTTCACACCGGCACAACCACACAACTATTCTGTTTACTTCACACCTCTTACTTATTTTTTCATGAGCAAAAATATAAATGAAGTAGTTTTAGTAGCAGGTCTCATTTTTGCCTATTGAATTTGGGTGGACAGACTGAAAACCATAGATCAGACCATATATCAGAACATCTGATTTATAATTTAAAGTTAATATACGGTAGGACAAAACATAGTGCACCAAATCCGGTATTTCAAAAAATATTCCACAAAAATTTGGAGAAAAAAAAAGATAATATCTGAAAGAACAATGCAAGAAATACAAGTGTTCAAATCATTTCATATTTTCAACACAGGGTTCCCACTCTTTTTCACTGACAAAATTTCAAAAATTTTCCATGACTTTTTCATGACCTAAAGAGAATTTTCCATGACTTTACGGCTCCTACAGACTTTTAGGGCTAAATATGAAATGTTAACCCTTTCCACTCAGCTTATGGTTTGGTATTATAGTTTTTTAACATTCAAAACCAAGTCGTTGTTTTGTGAGTCTCAAGTAAGTCTCAAGTCTTTGACCTCAAGTCCAAGTCAAGTGCAAAGTCAAATACAGGCAAGTCCAAGTCCAGTCTCGAGTCACTGGCCCATAAGTTCAAGTCAAGTCCAAGTTGTCTGCTTTGAGCTTCAAGTCATTTCAAGTCTTTAAACCAGCTTAGATTTTTGCAATTTATATGAATTTTTAACTAAATTGTACTTAAAACGTCATGGTATATTTATATATGAGAATTTATATAAGAGTCATAGAGATGTTAATTTTTACTTTTTAAAGGTCTTGACAAGATGTTAGTGTGAATCATTACGGTGAGAACAGATGGAATTCAGTTTTAAAAGTGCTAAGTAACACATTTTGTCTGCAATGAAATGGAAGCATCATGTTCTACGCAGTTCCCAGTTCCGTATATTTCTGTAAGATATTTGAGGAAACCATCAGTTACATCAGTTTTTTAGGAGAAGCATCAAGTCTTTTCAAGTCACAGGTCTCAAGTCCAAGTCAAGTCCCAAGTCATAGTCCATTTTATCAAGTCAAGTCTCAAGTCCTAAAAATAGTAACTTAAGTCTGACTCGAGTCACTGTCAAAACACTGTCAGTGCATTTATTGTCGTCTCTTATAAACAAAAAGCGCATACCTTCGGAAATAATCAAAACAGCCTCATGAGAACTTAACAGAACGCTGTAGTTGCGTGAAAGAGATACTAAAATCCCATGACTTTTTCAAAACTTTCATTGAATTTACAAAATCCCATGAATTTTCCTCGGCTGGAAAATGACATTTTCAATTTCCATGACTTTTCCAGGATTTCCATGACTGTGGGAACTCTGTCAACCTAAAGCTTTTGTCACTTACTACTAGACTTAATCATAAACTCTTGCTCAAGCAGTACTGTTACCGTAAAATACCAGATAATAGCAGGGGTGTTTATTTGTTCACTTAACAGACCGGGCGTTTATTTGAGACCAGGCGGCAATTTGGGGCAGGGGGGAAAATATGGTTTCTCGACTATAATTTACAGTTTTACGGCACGCCTCGGAGGATGGTCTGGCGAACACTTTGCCTACCTTGATTTGATTCAATCACCCTGGATGAAAACGTCACAAACTTCACCAGCTTCTCTGTGAATCCTCTCGCGTCCTTCTGGGTAATATTTGTACGTTTTCTGGAAGTGAAGTTGTTGCGGCGGAGGAAACGATTGAGCCAACCCGCACTGGCGACAAACTCCTCATCCCTGCTGTCGCTCACGGTCGCGTACATTTGTTTGGCCATGTCCCTGATCATCCTGCGGGACACTCTCTCGTGGCGTGCCCGTTTGCGGATCACCCACTCCCGCATGTTCAGCTCCAGCTCCTCACTCGCCTTCTTCCTCCCTCCTCCGGGCAGTCTGGCCCTTTCGCTGTCCTCCTCAGACCGACGCAGAAGCTCAGTTTTATTTTTGCGCCAGTCTCTCACTCTCTTGGGGTCGACAGAAAAACGTCTGGCTGCTGCTTCCCCCGAGTTTTCCTCTGCGTATTTCACCACAGAAAGTTTAAATTTCAAGTCGTATTTTTTATTTTTTCGCTGCACCGGAGCCATGACTGAAAGAAAGCACGAGAGGCTACGTAAAAAACAAAACAAAATAGGCGAAGAAGAAAAACGTGCAGCGTCAGTGGTCACGTCTTCTTGATTTTTTATTTTTTTAATGCGTTAGACTCGGCGTTTATTTGGAACCGGCAGTTATTTATCAGCAGTGTTGGGGAGTAACGGATTGCATGTACCGGCATTACATAATCAGAGTACAAATTATGAGTAACTGTATTCGGTCACAGTTACTTTTTCAGTGAGTGGTAATTGGATTACAGTTACTTTGTTAAAATAAATGGATTACATGGCGGTATTTTAATGTTTTCACATTTTGGGCTAAACCAGGACTAAACCAGGTTTAAACCAGGACAAAACCAGATCTAAAAGCAGGACTAAACCAGGACTAAACTAGGACTAAAACCAGGACTAAACCAAGTCAAAACCAGGTCTAAAAGCAGGACTAAACTAGGACTAAAACCAGGACTAAACCAGGTCTAAACCAGGACAAAACCAGGTCTAAAACCAGGACTAAACTAGGATTAAACTAGGACTAAAACCAGGACTAAACCAGGACAAAACCAGATCTAAAACCAGGACTAAACCAGGTCTAAAAGCAGGACTAAACTAGGACTAAAACCAGGACTAAACCAGGTCTAAAACTAGGACTAAACTAGGATTAAACTAGGACTAAAACCAGGACTTAACCAGGTCTAAAACCAGGACTAAACTAGGATTAAACTAGGACTAAAACCAGGACTAAATTAGGACTAAAACCAGGACTAAACCAGGACTAAACCAGGTCTAAACCAGGACAAAACCAGGACTAAACCAGGTCTAAAAGCAGGACTAAACCAGGACTAAACTAGGACTAAACCAGGTCTAAACAATGACACTTAACAGTAGGTGGACATAATTTAAGGCAGCAGTGATCTCATATATAAATCATTTCTCTATCAATAATATTTTTAATCTGGTTAAGGACAGACAGGGCTTTTTATTGTCTTTATGCAAACAAAACTTCTTATGTTAAGATCCTCGTTTTTGCTTTTCTACAGCAAACAAAAGTCTGTTCATGGAGACTTGAGCTCAATAGACAGTTTGAAGAGAACAAACAAGAAGTTTCTGGATGTGGTTGGTACATTCATGTAGTTTTAAAAAACATGACCATATCAAGTAATCCAAAGTATTCAGATTACGTTACTCACTTTGAGTAATTTAATGGATTACGTTACAAACTACATTTTGAGGTATGTAATCTGTAATCTGTAGGGGAATACATTTTAAAAGTAACACTCCCAACATTGTTTATCAGAATATACACCTGCACCTGGCGTTTAAATTGAAACCTGGGTATTATTTGGCATTTTACAGTATAACAAAACATCAACAATCTGGTATTTTCAAAGAATATTGCCACAAAAATGAAAAACTAAATCATATCTGGGTGAACGGTGCAAGAAATACAAGTGCTCAAATCATTTCATATTGTCAACATAAAGCTTTAGCAGTACTGTTACTTCAATACAAATATGACTCAAGTAAAAGTAACTACACACCTATGAGGGTAAGTACTACTGTGTATTGTCCGACCAAACATACTGAACGTCCTGAATGTGAAAGTCAAAATGTAGATGAAAAACACAGGGACTAAATGTTTGTATAAAGTCTTTGCACTTTTAATAAAGCCACTTTTTGTGCAACTGAGAGACAGCAGGAACATGTCAACAGCATCAGAACACCCCACAGGAAAGCACTAGACCCCACTAGAAGCCCAACCTCTCAGCTTTTCCACGTTTTGTTTTATAAAAAAAGCTATGAAAAAAATACTGTACAGATTTATGTTACAGTAGTATTTACAAAGGCAAACAAATAACCCTCGACACTTTTCTTTCCATAAAAAAAGAAAAGAAAAACACATTCTTGGCAAATTTAACAATGGTAACAGCGATGAACAGTGCACACACCTTTTCATAAAATCCATTTCCATTCTGTCTGGAAAAGCAATTCTGAACGGTTTATTTTGATGGAAGACAAGATACCAAAAGATGTTAAGATGAATAAAGCACCATTCTGCAGTTCGTAGAAAAACTGTATTGTCGTTTTTGTTTCTTGTAGCTGCTCATTATTGAATAGGTGTGAAAAAAATGTCAGTCTAAAAAGAAAAAAGAGAACATTATGACATGTTCTGTGTTAATCTAATGTAAACAGTAAAGGTTATTGGATGAATTTCAACTGATTATAAAAGTTTGTTGATCCAGAAATTCACAGTTCAAAGTAAACTTCTTTTTTTTTTCTTTCTTTTTGATGAAAATGCCTTTTTGGTTTAGGGACACTACGACTACTCGAATTTGGTTTGCCCAAATATACAGGACATGTTTTCATTGTAGCCCTATGAATATTCTAAAATCAATTTAAGATTGCTCCCAAATAATGCACATATTGGTAATCACAGTTCACAAATTGTGAATGACGAGGTCGTTTTAATCTTATTAACAATGCCCGTTCTTTGTTCAATTAAACATCTACTATGGCATCTACAATGACAAAATATACATCTTTGTTCCAATGTAAGAAAATATTACTTTAGATTTGTTTTAAATATACATATTCACATCAAGTTTCGATCAATCTTTTTTGTTTTTTGCTTCCTCCAGCAATTGAGAAGAAGAGCAATAAACAGGCCTCAAACTGAAAGTCTGTGGTCAATTTAATATACAGAAAAGCCTATTAGACTTAGTACCGCGCTAAAACTGTGCAACAATCAATTCATTTGTAGGTCTTTTACATTTTTACTAACCACCAAGAGACCGACTGAAAACATCACCATGAACATCAAAAAAAGCCTTCTTTGAAATGTTGCTTCTTACGCATATTCAGATTTAAATCCGACCAAGAGAAATTTGAATGCAGGATATACAAAATTCACATTATTGTTGAACACCAGAGTCTTAAAATGTCTCATCTAACAAGTAAACAAGTTGACGGTTGGAGTTCGAGAGCTACGCTGCGTCTCGAGATATCCAGCCGCTCTCTGTGAGGAAGGTGAGGATGCGTTTCTTCAGGACTTTATCCAGATAACTCGGCAGGCGGCTCTTCGAAGGAATCCCCTGCCTTTTCTGTAAATGATCCTTGATGATAATAGTTTTAACAGTCAGGTACCGCGCCGGGCTGAGATTCATCGAGCTACAAAGCACCTTCTCGCGATCCGACAACAACTCGAACCCGGGCAAGTTCTCGATGGCTGCGAACTCTCCGTCTTTACTCTCCTCCTTGATCCCGCTGACGCCGCCCATTCCCCCGGCAGCCCCGCCCCCTCCGCCTCCACCGCCCAATCCCATCCCGGAGCCGAGGCCACCGCCGCCGCTGCTCCCGCGTTTGGAAGTCACCACGCTTTTGTTTTCCTTCCGTTTTTCCCGTTTGTGTTTCGCGGCTTCGTACTCCACCGACTCGTCCAAGCGCGTGATGCCGTTTCGCCGGTATCTCTGCAGCTCGCGTACCTTCGCCCTCAACACGCGCTCCTTGTGCATGTTCTCGAAAAAGTCCTCGAACTCTTTATTCGCCATGAACTGACATAAACTCTTCAACCGGGAACGCTGCTCCTTCTCCTCTTTCGTTATTTTTCTTTTAGGTGTGCTCGGAACATTCCCGGCTACACCTGTCGTAGTAGAACTTTGACCGATGACCCCGCTGCCGGCAACGCTCGCTGAACCCAAACCTCCAGCGGCGCCAGGGACTCCCAAAATGCCCGGCTTTTCCTTGTCTTTCTTGTCTTTGCCCAAAAATGCCGGGACTAGACTGTAATCCCGAGCAATATTCTTACGCCGTTGCCGCTCGCGTAGCTTCCGAACGTACATGTCGACGTGTGCACGTTTCATGTCAATGTCTACATCTTCGTCGTCGTAGTTTACCGATAACGCGCTTATGAGTTTCTCCGCGTCCTGGTCGTACTCGATTTCGTAGTCGTCCCGTAGAGGCATGTAGCCCAGCTGTTGTTGCTCAGTGAGGCTGATGTCCAGAGGGGGGAGCGGCGTGGTGAGGCTGGGGGACAAGGGGCCTCCAGTGGGGCAGGTGTGGTCGGTCACCCGGTTGGGAATGCTGTCCGGGATGCAGGCCTTGCCCAGGTTTCCGTGGATGTACATGGTGACGTAGTGCTCCATCACTTCCTGAGGGGTGCGCGAGGGTCCCACGTGAGCCGCCATGTCCTCCTGAGTATGAAAACAAATACAAATACAACGTTTATTAGACTAGAACAAATTTGCCAGGATGTCATTTTAACAACTTTCTATATTAATAACATAAACAAAATTTTAATAAAGTAACAGGCTGCAGTGAGTTCCCATAGATTTGATTCAGACATTGGTGGCATAAATAATTCCAAGGTTAATGATTTTCTTTCATACCATTTGAGGTGTTTAAATGTCACTTATTACCTGCAGTCTTTTCACTTTGTATGTGAATCCAATACACTTATAAAGATTGTTACAAGAATATCATTATTATCATCATCATTATTTATCTAAAAACTGTAGTTTCTGAAGTGCTGCACATTACAAACAAATGAATGAATGAAAATAATACAAGGAGCAACAAAGTGACCTTTTGTTATGCCAATATTTAGGCCATGTTCTTAGGGGGCAACCATAGTCTCTTCAATTAATGTAAACACTGACATTGCTTCATTAGTTAAATTTTTTTTTGCAAATCTTGAATTGAATTGTTAAAATGTTGTCTTTATCAAGGCCGTATGCGTGATATATGATAATAATATTAAGTCTTGTACAATAGTTTTAGCTGTACTATACAGTTATATATTGCAACAGATACAATTATAGTGTAGATGCAAATTAATTAACATTTGGTAATTGTTTTTAAAGTAGGGTGACCAGAATTTCAAAATAACATTTAAAAAATTAGATATTCTTGGTTTTTTGAGTGGTTGATAATAATACACTTGTGAAAAAAGTACATAATTAAGGACAATTGTTATGCAAAGACCATTCATGACAGACATCCAGGTCAGTGTAGTCACATTTTCTTTGTGTTTTGGTCATGTTTAAACAGCTTTTCTGTATTTTACATGAACAAATTACAACATATGCCTATCTTTACTGTAGGCAGGGTCAAAAATAGAGACGCCTGGAACATTTCTTGCATTAAACTGGGACAAATCAATGGTTTTGGATAAATCTGTTGGGAAAGGGGACACAGGGCTCAAAACTGTCCCGGATAAATAGAAACGTCTGGTCACTCTAGTAAAATAGTTTTAGCTGTACTGTTCAGTTTTGTATTGCAGTAGATACAAATGAATTAGGACTTGGGAGTTGTATTTAGGGTAGGGTGACCAGATTTTCAAAATAAAAAACTGGGACATCCTTGTTTTTTTGGTGGTTAGTAATAATAAAATTGTGAAAGTGTGTAATTAAGGACAATTGTCATGCAGAGACCATTCATGACTAACATGTAAGTCAGTATAGTCACATTTTCTTTGTGTTTTGCTCACGTTTAAGCAGCTTTTCTGTATTTTACCTAAACAGTTTACTGTTGGCAGGTATAAAATTGGTCAAAAATAGGGATGCCTGGGACATTTCTTGCATTAAACTGGGACAAATCAATGGTTTTGGATAAATCTGCAGGGACAGGGGACACAGGTCACAAAACCAGGACTGTCCCAGGTAAATAGGGACATCTGGTCGCTCTAGTAAAACAGTTTTAGCTGTAGTATAAAGTTTTGTATTGCAATAGATACAATGAATTAGCACTTGGTAGTTGTTTTTAGGGTAGGGCGAACAGATTTTCAAAATCAAAAATTGGGACACTCCTGGTTTTTTGGTGGTTGGTAATAATACAATTGTGAAACAAGTGCGTAATTAAGGACAATGCATGTTATGCAAAGACCATTCTTAACTAACATGTAAGTCAGTATAGTCACATTTTTGTTGTACTTTGGTTATTTTTGAGCAGCGTTTCTGTATTTTACCTAAACAATTTACTGTTGGCAGGTATAAAATTGGTCAAAAACAGGGACGCTTGGGACATTGGGACAAATCAATGGTTTTGGATAAATCTGCAGGGAAAGGGGACACAGGGCTCAAAACTGGGACTGTGTCGGGTAAATAGGGACGTCTGGTCACTCTAGTAAAATGGTTTTAGCTGTACTATTCAGTTATGTATTGGAATGGATACTACAACAGTGTAGATACGAATGAATTAACACTTAGGAGTTGCTTTTAGGTGCAAGTTTCGTCACAAAGCAAACTATATTACTTTGCAGATCACTTTCACAGGTAAAATCAGCAACATTAGCACAGTAATCATCATTTTTAAGAGTTACAAAGTGCTGTACCCAGTTGCCAAAGCCGTACTGCTCGATGGCATCTAACAGCGACTGCTCTTCCCTGCCGGTCCAGCCTCCCTCCGCCTCGGGACCCCAGAGCGAGAATCGGCCGCCGTCCACCAGCTGATAACCGTGCCATCTGCGGTGATTACTGATCTCTGCGCCCGCCGAGAAGCACTCCGGACACAGCTCGATGTCGGGACACTCCGTGCAGCGAAGCCGGAGGTTGGTGACATCCGAAAGGCAGTTAACGCAGTACTTTTTGCCCAGGTCGGCCATGTTGTCTGGCTCCTGCTTCTTGTTGTTGGAGGCAGAAGTTGACGCCTGCGCAGTGGGTTCGACGCAGAGGACGCTAAAATCCTGGCATTTCGCTCGGGGGCGGGGTTGAAATTATCTTCGAAAAAACACACAACAAAAATAAATAAATAAAATAAAATAAATAAATAAACACGAAACTATATATTTGTATTCATGATATGAATAAGAATACACTTTTTTCTTTTTTTTTTTTTTAACTTACCTTATTCGAGCGATAATGACGATATCCAAGTCTCACAATACGATATCGCCACTGTATGAACCTCACGATATTTATTGCGATATTGTGGAAAAGCTCGCGATTTTGTGGGAAAGCTCACGATTAGCAATGTAACAATATCCAAATCTCTCCCTACGATATTTTCACGATATACATCTCACGGTACGATATTTATTGCGATATTTTGTGGAGGGAAAACAGCTGAAATGTTTAATTTGCTATTTTTTCCTCTTAAAATGCCTTGACAAGACTTAATCCAAAGAACTAAGACTTAGAAGTGCTTAGAACTGTTATTTCTTCATGTAGTCTGCAATGAAATAGTGCAAAGGATCATGGTCTATGTAGTTCGCTCTGTCTTTTTGCTGCACCATAACTCTTAATTTAAGCATAGAAACTTGTAATTTGATATATTGTGATGGTCCACGATATAATTGGGAGAACTTTGACGATACGATATCACAATATTTCAGTTATTGTTACATCCCTAATAATTTCTATACACATTCCTCACATTGACCACAACCTGTTCAGTAATTTAACCGTTTTTTGCAGCTAAAATGTGTACAAAAGTTAATGACCTACACAATTTGGACGAAATGCCTGGAATTTAACAGTGTTTGTTAATATTCATGAGAGGGTGCAGGGGATTGGTCCAGAGCTGAAGTTTCCACGGCAACCACAACACAACCAATGGGCTCATTCACTGGAGAAGCACAAGTCTGATAAAAAACTACTTTATTTTACACATAATACATTTTCTTTTTAAAATGAGTGAAGACTTAGGTCACGATGACAATAATGGCAAAGTTAAGGCGAAGTTTGCGACATCTGCTCCTGGAGATGACGCTCCTGTTGATTTTACAGACCAGGAAAAAGGTGACAATGTCCAAACCAGTACTGTGTCAGAGAATGACGGACAATCGGTTAAGATTCAGCATTCCACAGAAGATCCCAAAGAAGAAAAGTCTCCAGGTGAGAAAATCAGCCATTCTTAGCCTAGTCTGCATCACCAAACAACTCACAACATTCCCGTATTTTAAAACTGAGCTGGCCTGGAGGGCAAGTCCGGTTTCAGATTTGGTTAACTGGTTTAGAGTTAATATCTGTGTAATTATTACCAGGCCTATAACGTAAAACTATACTGGCAGAGTTCAACATCTTCTTCTTTGTCACATTGTTAGTAAGTAAACAAAAGTGGATTACATTTCATTTTCACAATAGTTTCAGAAAATGGTAACATTATGCAATTGCCGGGATAAATAAACAAAAGTGGATTACATTTTATTTTCATAATAGTTTCAGAAAGTGGTAACATTATTTTATTACCGGTATAAATAAACAAAAGTGGATTACATTTTCACAGTAGCTTCAGAAAAACATTATTCAAATCCAAAAATTTGATTTAGGATTAGGACAGTTTTGGGGAGACAGTCCAATAATAACGTTCAACATTTGTGAATCATAATTTCAGATATTTCATAAACAATAAATTTCTCCTGTGAGTTATTAGAACATGTACACAATCTTTTCAGAGTCTCCTACCCATTAACAGTTTGCGATTTGTTGGCAGATATGGACGAAGATGGAAATCAAGATTATTTAGTTAACCAATCTGAATTCACAGAAGAAAAGCTGTCAGGTAAGAATTGAAGTTTGAAAGACTTTTAAAAGCAAATCCCTATTAGTACTAATATATTTACAAATGTTACTATAGTAAGCCTACAACTGCTATTACTACTGATTTTGTAAGTCAGTCATTTACAACTACAGTAACTAAAGAATTCATCCATTTACCAGCACAGCAAAAGGTGAAGTGTTAAAATTGACTCTCACAGAATCAGTTTAAATATTTTCTCAGGGTTTATATGAGTCCAATCTATTGTAGAGTTAATTTAAGATTTTTGGAAATGTTAATTATGTAACACTGGACCAAAGTTCCTGTTTAACCCTGAAATCAAGAGTTATGTTAATGTTTTGAGAGTAAACCTCTTTAGGGTTATCCTGATTTAGCTAAAAAACACATGGGGTGTGTTTTTTTTTTTTTTTGGCACTTTATTTTAGTTACTTTAAGATGACATTTTGTACAAAACTGGTTCAAACTGGCCTTTTCTCAGGGGAGTTTGAAGTGGTGGATGGGAGGAAACAAATTAACACGGAGAGAAGTTGAATGAACACCAGGGGAAGTTGAATTAACGCCAGCGATATCAATTCTGGCAAATAATCCCAACTCAAACCCCCATTTAACTTTCAAATAAAATAACACTTTTTGTATTAAAAATATTAACCCCCCAGTTTTTGCTGTGCAGGCACGGCGGCTTAGGTGTCTTACTCAAGGACACAATGATGACAATATGAACTGGCAAGAACAAGATTTGAACCACCAAGCTTCCAGCAATCGTCCTACCAAACTAGGACTGAGCAACTAATACATTTTAGTAAATATATTATTATTTGCAGATTGTAACTTTTAGCTTGTTATTAAAAGTTCTTTTGATAATTTTAAATTTAATAATAATAATTTTAAATCAACATTGGACTGATCAGTAAGAAATAATTTGAGTGTGCATGCTTAGACATTTCCCATTTCTTTAAGGTGACCAGACGTTCCTATTTACCCAGACCAGTCCCAGTTCTGAGCCTTGTGTCCCCTGCCCCAGCGGATTTATCCAAAACCAGTGATTTGTTCCAGTTTTATATCAGACAGGAAGGTCCCTGGTGTCTGTTTTTGACCAATTTTATACCTGCCAACAGTAGAAAGAGGCATAAATTGTCATTTGTTTAGATAAAATTCCCCAAAAAATCTGCTTAAAAATGACCAACACACAAAGAAAATGTGACTATACTGGCTCACATGTTAGTCATGAATGGTCTCTGCATAACAATTTTCCTTAATTACACATTCGTTTCACAATTTTATTATTACCAACCACCAAAAAAACGGGCATGTCCCAGTTTTTTATTTTGAAATTCTAATCACCCTATTTATGAGTATTTATTTAAAATCCTTTATTATTTGGACTTTGCAGATTCCCAAACACATCTTGACATTGACGTCATGTTACCAGAAGATCACAACCTTATTACTGAACCATCTGGATCAACCGAAGAGAAACTAGACTCAGATGGAGACCACGGTGACCACATTGCTGAAACAAACCAACAAAGTCTACCGTTTGGGGACAGTTTGATCTCAGAGGCTCCCAATGGTGAAGGAGATGGCCCCAACCGACTGGACTACGAGACCCAAGACAGAGAGTCCTCCTCAGAACATGAAAGACCAGCCAGTGCCTACACCACCGGTTATGAAGAATACGCTTTACTTCTGGAGCAGCTGACAGAAGAACAAGCTCACGCCATCGAACACAGGAAGAAGCTGCAGTTGAAGCTAGTTCCAATATTTGCTAAGAAGCCCAAAGAGGAGATGGAGAGGGTTCTGCGGGGGGAACTGTGTGAGGAAAGTTACGAGGAGAGTCTGGAGATGCTGACTGAGCTCAAGCTGAACATGAAGGAGGAGAGAGAGATGGCGGAGAGGCAGGCGGACACGCTGAAGATGCAGGCGCAAGAGAAGCTAAGCAAGGTAAGAAAGGAAACCAGTGGATGCCAAATGCCGAAACTGAAGTACTGAGAAGGCCTGTTATTTATATCTAGGTAGAAAAATAACAATATATTTAGTTTTATCGACCTGGAAGTGGCCAATTTGGGAAAATGTAGGCCTAAAATAAGGTGACCGGACTCTCTGTTTACTCTATTTATCCAAAATCACAAATTTGTCCCAGTTTTGTACAAGAAATGTCCCAGGTGTTTCTATTTTTTTTTGATTGGTCAAAAATAGGGACACCTGGGACGTTTCTTGTATAAAACTGAGACAAATCACTGGACAGAGGGCTCAAAACTGGGACTGTCCCGGGTAAATAGGGACGTCTGGTCACTGTAGTTTGAGAAATTAATTATGAAAAGCGCTTATAAGCTCGTCACAATGAATAATTACGATGCTCAGAATGCAGAAGGTAAGTGAGGAATAACTTCGGGCCACTACAAACTGTTTAAAATTAAATAGCTCTGTTTTATTTTACATTCAAGACAGTAAAAATCAAGTAGAACACCTTTAAATAACAAATAATACAGACTAGACACCTTTTATTGCCTACTTCTCCTATATTTTGTAAAAAAAATAACAAGTAGTAAATCTGTGTGCTGTTCAATGGCTGTTCCGACTCTGCGATGTATAAGCTGTTGACTTGAGATGGAGTGTGGCCGAAGTAGATACACCGTGCATACTAAACTGTTGGTCAAAGCTCTCACTGTCAGCCCATCACTTGTTCGGTGATGGGCTGCAGTGCTGCTTGAGGGTCTGCAAATAGACAACCTATCTCAGTTTAATCAATTTGTACAAAAAATGATGTTAAAAATAAATTAGTTTGTTTTGGAAAGCAAGAATTGTACATCGATTTAGACTTCACTGGCCACATATGTCAATATTGGACACTAAATTAATATTATATCTTGCAAATAGTAGATTCTTATGAGCAAGCTTGCTTCTTTACCGATCTGACATGTAACTTGGCCTTGATGGTGTCACTCGCTTGCCTTTATACTGCAAATTTCTCTGATCTGGCCAAGATTTTAACATTTATATCAGGTTATTCATCTTGTTTTCAGATTTATTATCTACTTACTAGTTCTGAGACTGTTTAGTTCTAGAGTTTGTTTATTTTAAGAGAACTTGTCAAGTAAAATTATCTTGCTGCGTGGACAGATAATTTTACTACTTTTAAGTCATTTTCTAATAGATTTAAGTGTTTATATCTTAAATTTTGGCCAAGCTTTTTTGCAGTGGAGGGAGATTGATTAGTGTAATGTCAAACTATGAAGTATTTCTGGAAAAGCAATAATATTTCCATGAAGAGTAAAGTTTTTTAAACCCTCTTGAGACCCGAGCTTTTGTCTGGTGTGCATTTTTCATTCCTCCTTGCTATTTGGGATAAGTAGGACTTAATAAGTATCATAACTAAACTTTGTTTTTATACAGGAAGTAGTTTTTGCAAAAAATTATGTCCTCATATGCGGACAATGGGTCGATCTTACTGTATGACACAAGCAAATGTACCACTTAAATTAACAATTTACAACTGTAAACTCTAGTGTCGTAAACTGGTCTTGGTCTCGTGACCAGCCTCAAGACCACTTTTTTACGGTTTTGGTCTCAACTCAGATTCCAGCACATTTGGACTTGGTCTTGTCTCGGTCTTGAAGGCGCTTCGTCTCGGTCTTGTCTTGGTTTTGGCTTTTAAAAGTCTCGGTCTTGTCTCGGTCTTGAACCTCAGAGGTCTTCGTCTTGTCCTGGTCTCGGGACAGTGTGGTCTCGAACTGGTCTTGGTCTCGATTAGTGCGGTCTTGACTACCACTTGACTAGTAAACTCATTCAAGTTCAGCTAACAACATGGTACAATTAATAACATTATAGTCCCAAAGTCCTCAAATGACAACATGACATGATGTTCTAGTCTGCTGTGATTACTAAAAAAGTGTCAAATCTGAATGCCATATGCCATACATTATTGTACATAAATACATTGGTTTCATTCATAAAATTTGGATATAAACTTTACCTTGCTGTTTTTTGTTTTGTATGTAATGTCCTTGTATGACAACGCAGAGTCTCAAGAGGTTAAGGCACCTTTACATGTTGTACAATATTAAATTATTACAATATTGTGTATTAGTAATTATTTTAATGTGTAATCTTGTGTCTAAAGTACTTACCATGGTAACTACATAGACCAAGATCTTGCTGTTTCAGTGCAGTCAACATTAAGAAAATGTTTTTAATTATCGGCATCATATCTTTATTAATTCACTCATATAATTTTTGTAGGTGGACAAAGAATGGCGTGAACTGCTGTCCCTGAAGAAAGACGTGGCAGTAATGGTGCTGAGTCGGCGCATGGCTAAACCGGACGCCCTGGCTAAGGTGGAGTTCGCACTGTCCTCAGAGGAGAAGCACCAGGATGAGCTGACCAGACTGCGCCTCCAAAACTTCAGCCTGGAGAATCGGATCCGGAGACTGGAGCTGGAGATCAGCGAGGCCGACCGGAACGCCACCAACCCCTACCAACGCGAGTACGAGAAGCTCCACGCGCGGAGGATGGACAGGAAGAAGCACGGGGAGAAGAGACATGAAGAGGCTGTCAGAGTACAGAGGAGGGTGGTGAGGAGTTTGGAGGTGAGTGATTTTATTTTTACCAGTAGATGGCAAATGTGAAACCTGTTCCCCTCACCTGGCCTGACCATGGACATAGTTAACCCACTAGCCGTCACGTTCCAAATAGGAAGTAAGAATGGGCACACTTCCGACTTCATCGTCAATCAGTGACTTGATTGACAGTGTTGCTTAAGCATTCGCCTCCTGCTAAAGGGCTTTAGCTTCAACCACCTTGCCCCGGATTGACTCTTTGGTTTCTATGATACTCCGCGGTCCGGAATTCCAAACATGGAACTCCAAATTTGCCCCTATAACTGTGGCCTCAATGAGCCTCATTTTCTCTGCAGGGTTCCCATGGTTTTGGAAGTTCTTGAAAATTCATGGGTATTAAAAATTTAGTTTTCCAGGCCTGGAAAAGTCATAGAATTTTGTGAATTCAGTGGAAGTTTTGGAAAAATGGATTTTAGTATCTCTTTCACGCAACTACAGCGTTCTGTTAAGTTCTCATTAGTCTATTATGATTATTTCTGAACGTCTGCGCCTTTTGTTTAAAAGAGACGACAATAAATGCACTGACAGTATTTTGAATGTTAAAAAAACTCTAACACCAAACCATAAGGTGAGAGGAAAGAGTTAACATTTCATATTTAGCCCTAAAAATATGATCAATTCTACACATGTAGGCTTCCCTAAAGTCATAGAAAAGTCACTTTAGGTCATGAAAAAGTCATGGAAAAGTTTAAAAATGTTGTCCGTGAAAAAGAGTGGAAACTCTGTCTCTGGTCTTCATCTGTCAGAGAGCAATAATGTAGGTAGCATCTTGTGATGTTGGGTGCAAATACAACAGGGCCAGGTCAGCCAATTGTTTCTTGAGATTTCTTTTTTTAATTTAGTATATTTATTTTATTTTCTATTTTTCTTTTCACGTTGCCGCGTGACTAGATCCAGTTCTCACAAATGGAACCTCACTTCTCTCTCCTGATATTTAAATATTGACTTATTTCAGCACGACTCTGCTAATATATCACAGAGAATGAATGCAACGGGATGTGAGGATCCAATTGCCATGTCACCACAGAAGCATGAAAAGCACCTATTTTACTTTAAGTTATAGTTTTAAAGAAAGTATTCAAGATGCTTTTACACTAAATCATAATAATTTTATTTCAGGTGCTGTCCAACATCAAGCAGAGGCTCCACAGCACCGAGACAGAGATCCAGCACCAACAAGAGAAACTGGCCCAGGTGAACGCCATTTTGGCTCAACACAGAGACAAGCTCACGAACCTCAAGCGAGCTCGCAGCAGCCTGCAGAGGGACAACACCCGCCTGAAGGAGCAGCGTGGCCTGCTGGGAAACGAAGTCCTGTTGAGAGACTACGACTTCACCAAGCAAGCCAACGCAGCGCTCGAAGAAAAACTACAGGATCTAAAATGTCAGCAGGCGGATTTAGAATTCTATCTAAACAGGAGGAAGAAGAGGTTGCAGATGATGTGATGTGGAGATCGTGAATTATAATTAAAAGGTGCAATGTGTAACTTTTTACAGCTCAAAAATATGTTGATACGCATGCATTTCTGTGAGTGGGGTTGCCTCTCCATAGATCTGACCTGTATATTTGACCTGGTGGCACCATCTCAGTGTTTAATGCCATACTGTGGAGCATTCCAAGCAAAGTAACAATATCTCCATGGAGACAAGCGGATGGAAAAGATTACATAGGGCATCTTTAAGAGTTGATACTGATGAAACTTTGATGCCAAGACTCAGCAGCATTTAAAGATATTAAAAATTCATTGGCACTTAAGCCGATTACATTTGTGCTCATAATTGATTAATAATTCATTTTAATGTTTGGAGCAGTTTATATTTTTGTACTGCTGACAACTTAACATTCACAACTGTTCAAACTGTAGGCTATAATCTTTGTGTTATCCTTTAATTTACTTGGTTAGACCTCCTTTTTAAAGAATTGCATGTTTTCATAACTGGATTAGACCTGTTAATACACTCTTTGTTTAGCTGCAGTTGATTAAAGGTAAAATTGTGTGTTGCCTAAATAAAAAAAAAAACAGATCTGTAACTTTTTCTGATGATTTATGATTCTCTTTCTTTTTCTTTTTTCTGTGGAGTTTTAGACAAACTAATAAATAACGTTAAATAAAATGTAAGTGTTTTGCATGAATAAATCAAAACACAACTCCAGGTCTGTTTTGGAGGAAGTAACACCGTTCTAACATGGTTTGAAGTTCACAAAAGTCAATTTTACATATCCTTTATGTCAAATATAAATTGCAATAACGTTTGTTATGATTATTATTTTAATAACTTAATGCCAAAACAAAAACAATAACAAAACTGACATACATGTAACCTTAAACTGAGGCAGATAATTATACATACAAAGAAATCAATACAAGAAACTGAGTAACTGATAATAAAAAAAATTTAATCCTAATTCTTCTGTAATATTGAGTGTTTTGATAGATTTATTGTTAGAAATACTGTTTAGTGTTTGAAGATAATTCTTAACATTTAAGATATTTGTTTTAAAAAGGAGTCTGTAATTGGAGAATTTGGATTTATGGACATGAAATTTTCCCAACAAAACGCACAGGTTTACTAAATATTTATGTATGGGTATATGGGTTCTTATGCTTGAGCAGTCCAAATGAATTCTGATTTTTATTTTATTTTATTTTATTTTGCAGAATAAGTGTCTCGCAGTAACTCTTTTTACTGTTTCTATAAATAGATTGTGACGTCCTGCCGCAAAACTTTCTGTAATACCTCCTCGTACAAACAAAGGTAGTTTTGCGGGGCTGCTACTTTTATTATAAGCAACATCATGTTCAGAAGCAAAGGAACCAAGCACTGCTGTTGGGGGCTGTGCAAATCAGACTGAGATATCCGGAGCGCTAGATCCGCTACAACATACGCGAAAATATTTATTTCTTATTTCTTTTTTTTCCCCCTACAATTGTATTCTTTTCCTGTATATTTATGTTGCTACTCGTGCCTCTTGTACGTCTTTTTTTGCTTGTGTGAAAATTACAGTAAAAGAATTGAGTTATTTTATTAAAGGAAAAAAAACTTTAAAAAAAAATAAAATAAAATCATACGAGAAAACATGATGACGTCACATCCGGAGTCACTGAATGCGGCAGCCATTTTGGTAGGCAAAAAGGCTAAAAGCGTCCATATCAACAAGTCAACATGCCAACTAGTTGTTGTGCATTTAACTGCATCAGCAGGCAGAGTAAAAGGAGTGGAATTAGTTTTTTTAGAATCCCAAAAGACGTAGAAAGAAGAAAACAGTGGCTTCATGCAATAAAGAGAGGATCTGTCGACAAATCTGATGAACCATGGGATCCCAAAGGCCATGAGAGAATATGCGGGAAACATTTCATGTCAGGTAAATTACACTTGTATGATGATCATGTCATATCATATTACGACCTTGGAGGCCTCGGAGGCATATTGTCGATTTTTTGAGTAAACAATAAAACATAGATTTGTTTTGTTTGTTTATTTTGTTTAATGAATTTGTGCTATGGGTGTATGGCAGTGGTCACACCTCTTGCCTTAGTATGTTTCATATTGTTGAGTAAAGTGTCTGGGTGTATGATGATTTTATATATGATAATTTGATCTATAAAAAATATTTGTGAGATCATTATAAAAAGATGGTTAGAATTCAGACATCGTGAATTGGATTACTCGACCCCAACCCCCCACGACACACACTCGCCTAAACTCTAAACCCTGAGTGTGTGTGTATAAGCTATTGTCATAATTTTATCCCCTTTTGGCTTTGTATTTTATTCTGTGGATGAAATATTCTAGATTTCCTGTCCCGGTGGATAATATAACCAAGGTTATTGTTCCAACCGAGATAAATTTAACACTTACATTTGTACACACCTCACTCCTCAGGAAACTTATAATAATATGTATGTATTTTTTTGTGTTTTTTTTATATACCAGGCAAAGCATCAGATAATCCGAAGCATCCTGATTATGTCCCCTCCATATTTGATTTTCCAACAACACCTCACCAGCAGGAGAAATCCTTAAAGAGTAAATGCAACAGAGCTGCAAAAAGACAGAAGAGAGGTACCGTATGACACAAAATTTAACTTGATTACTAGTACTCACTTACTAAAAGTCACTATGTTCCATGTACTTGTTCTTGAAGTCATGTCAAAACAATTAAATGCAAAACCTACTTCAAAATAAGACGAATTATCTCATGACAGACATTCGCAAAGCAACTGTCAACACAAACAAGCAGCCCCACTGACTTTTTGCCTACCAGTGGAAAAGCTGGATATAAATAAATGTGGGTGAGTAGATTTCCAAAGTCTGTAGAAGATTAACAGTGCCACCTACAGCTGCTCTCTGCATTTTGATGGTGGGAGAGGCCCTAGATCTGACGATGACGATATGATGCAAGAAGCAGGCAGTGATCTATCCAGGGCCTCAGCACTGACACCCAAACTTTGCACAAGAAGCCGTTTAGACTTTTAGTATCACAGCCATGATTTAGATATTATTTTTTACTGAACCGTATTGAATCGATTTGAAATATATACTGTATCGAGGTATGTATCGTAACTTCTTGATGATCACCAGCCTTACTTCCAGTGTTGGGAAGGTTACTTTTAAAATGTATTCCCCCACAGATTACAGATTACATACCCCAAAATGTAGTTTGTAACGTAATCCATTAAATTACTTAAAGTGAGTAACGTAATCTGAATACTTTGGATTACTTGGTTTGTTGTAGAGAAGCAAAGATGAGGATACTTAACCATATTAAAAATATTATTGATAGAAGAGGAGGAGACGTGGTCCACACAGCATGGTTTAGTCCTGTTAAATCCTGTTTTAGTCCTTGTTTAGTCCTGTTTTAGTCCAAGTTTAGATCTAGTTTAGTCATAGTTTTAGTCCTGGTTTGGACCTGGTTTAGACCTGGTTTAGTCCTGGTTTAGATCTAGTTTAGATCTGGTTTTAGTCCTGGTTTAGTCCGGGTTTAGACCTGGTTTTAGTCCTGGTTTATTCCTGGTTTAGATCTGGTTTTAGTCCTGGTTTAGACCTTGTTTAATTTCCAGCAATGAGTGGAATTATCGAAAAAAAAAAAAAAGTAAATAAAAATAAAAATTATGGGAAAACAGGAAAATACCGCCGTGTAATCCACTTATTTTAACAAAGTAACTGTAATCTAATTACCACTCACTGAAACAGTAACTGTACCTGAATACAGTTACTCATAATTTGTACTCTGATTACGTAACTCCGGTACATGTAATCTGTTACTCCCCAACACTGCTTACTTCTATCCATAACTTGAACTTTTTTTTAACATAGGGTAACCAGGTGTCCCTATTTACCCGGGACAGTCTCAGTTTTAAGTCCTGTGTCCACTGTCCCAGCAAATTTATACAAAACCAGTGATTTGTCCCAGTTTTATATAAGAAATGTCCCAGGTGTCCCTATTTTTGACCGATTTAATCTAAACCATGTCTAAACTAGAACTATATCAAATCTAAACCAGGATTAAAACAAGACTATCCCAATTTTTGACTAATCTGATCCCTAAAGAGGAGCGAAGTTGTGCGGTGCAACATGAGCTCACATTTACGTCTTCATTTTCAGTTCTAACCATCCATAACACGAACTTTTTTAACAACATTTCTGTCTTTACACATGCCGGTTTCTTTGTCTATGGTAAGGTGAATGTTTAAAATGCGTAAACAGATCATTGAAAAAGACAAATATTGCAAATGTGCGACTGGAGCACACATGAGGGAGAGGGCAGTGCTTGTTGTATTGAATCGAATCCACTAGAGGGCAGTAACGCGCCGTGAAACAACATGAGCCGTGAGCGCGCTGTTTACCTGCAGAAGAAGAATGACTCTCCATGGCGCGGCTGCATGGAGAAACCATGGGGGATAAACACGCATGGATCTGATCTGAACTTCATGATTGTAGGACCAGGCTGCTGGAACACCTCTGGACTAAAGTTTTACCGGATCCCCACCGGGTCACGGCCATCTGCAGGCTGAAGTGCACCCACCTTCCCGAGGAGCAGAGCAGGGCATCAGGGCATTGCCTCTGCAGCCTCTTATTTCATATCAGGTACATCAGGTAACTAATTACAAATACTCACGTTACTGCAATTGAGTAGATTTTGTGAGTAATTATACTTTTTAAACTTGTAATTCAGTATAATTCTACCCATGCAATAGACCCTCTCAAATCTTATATCACCAGATGCCTCAAACTTCTGCAGTAGAGGCAAAATTAAGCACATAACATAATATATTTACAACCATTAATTGACAAGCAGACCTAAATGCAAATGGTTTTATGACATTATAACAAAAAATAAGCAACAGTTTTGAATTTCCAAGGTACAAATCTTATTTGCTTTGTTTCACTCTTCAGAAGGATGGGAAAAAATGCAGTTTTCTAACCCGAAAATAGTATTTGGGCTTCACAAAAAGTATAATTTATGTTGAAATGTGTAATATATCTGTAGATGAAGTGGGCTTAACAAGGATTTGTTCAGTAAAACCTCAAAATGTGGATTTTGCCTTTGAAAAATGCTTGGTGTCTATCATAAACTCTTGTCAATTAAAAAAAACACAATTGTAAGCATTTTTAAACTGGCTCTGATATCATTTACATGTATCAAAGTGGTTTTCATTTTCCAAATTGTCCTCGATTTTTAATATTTTGTGATATTCTGAAATCCCATTTTTTTCATTAAAATCACATTATGTTTCACTTCATGTTTGCCTCCAGCTGCCTCCATTCTGGAGTTTAGAATCTTTTTGTTTACAATTTTTCAAAGAGTCTATAGTAATTTGTTATATATTTTGTTTAAATCATATGACTTCTGATTACAGCACAAATCCCAGTTGTCTCACCTCTTGATCTGCTCCTTTCTACACAGATCATGGAAGTATAATCCATGTGACAAACACACACCAGAGCACTGCATTTCCTGCTCAGAGCTCCAGGCCAGAGCAGGTTGTAGTTTGAAACGACTTATTTGCTTCAAACTGTTTATGGAATAAATCTTGATCTAAAAAGTTGCTAAAAATCTGGAGAAAAGTACTCTGGATAATATTTATAATATGTATGTTTAACTTTTACTTCAGTACAATTTTAGAAGCAGTACCTGTAATTGAGTATATTTTTTTAGCCATGTAACTGTACTTCTACTTGAGTACAAATTTGCAGTGCCCTTTCCACCACTGGGTACAAACAATTATCATCCGTAGTTTTGATGAAATGAAGTTCTTGATTACACGTCTCCATCGGACTTTATCTGCTTTCCAAAACTATCAGAGGGAGGCAGCAGTTCTTCTTTACCCACAGACTCCAAAGAAGATTGCATTGCAAAGTGGAACAACGACCAACAAGACCCATGAAGGTCTGACTATTGTGTATTGACTGCCCACGAAACAATGTCCTGTAACGGAACCACAGAGCACTGTTGTTGGGGCTTGTGCAGGTCGGACTAAGCAGCCCTGTGTATGTTTGTTTGCCGGCATTTGTCAGACACTGCAAATTAACGCTGTTAGATATTATGGATACAGTTGATTAAATGAGGGGTAAAATAAATACACCGTATTTGTATTTTGCAGGGAAGATGTCCTTGGACTACAACAATCCAGATTTTGCGCCTTCTGTCTTAAAAAATGACAAAAACAACAAGTAAGTTACAGATTCATTGACATGTTTTTTTGTTCACTTACTTACTATTATACTTTTTCCACAGAGCTTGTAAGAAGAGAAAACAGACAAAACTCGAAAGAAAAGCTGCAACATTGCATTCTCAGGTATGAAGACACTTGAATAAAGTGAACTAATCAAACTACTACTTAAAGCCGTTTGCAGATGCCATGTTTGTTTATTTAATTTTTTTTTACAAACTCCAAACGTGTTTTTTCTGATTGTTAAATCGGCAGAACATTTAAAACTCCTTTATATAGTTTATGGTTTTATCATATTATTTTGCGATCTTTTTTCACCAATTTCAGCAGTGGTTATCGGCATCAATATTGGTCTTATCTCTACGAAATAAGAACTGGGACAGAGTTTAAAGTGTTCTTGGTCTGAATGTCTGAGCTACGTGCGTCTGTGTGGACGGATCTTTTAGCTACAGCTTTTCAAAAATACGCAACTTTCCAGATCTTGAGCGAGGCCTGTTATTCCTGTGCCAAATGGATAAGTGGATAAAATCTTGTGAGATCGTTTTTCCCCTGTGTGTGGAAAAACTTGTGATAATTTGATCAGGTTGCATGCTATAGTATTACAACTAAACAGAAAAACATTGTAGTCTTGGCTGGCCAGGCTAGAATAAACACTTTGACATCTTGGTCAGTAAATTTATATTAAAATATATTAAAAATTTGAGTTACTAAACCTCCTTTGGCATTCAGTGTGGATTTAACAATAAAAAATGTTTTATAGAGTAAATAATACTTATAGAAACTTGTATTTATCTCCAAACTCCAAACCCACTGTATACTGTATGTATTATAGCACATTTTACAAACAAAGCAGTTTCCAGAGTGCTGCACAGAGATCATAAAATGAAGGCAACAAAAAGGTAAATTGCTATAATTTGGTCATACCAGTCCTAAGACAATAAAACCAGTAAAATCAGAGAAAAGCAAGACCATGAAAATCATCAAGTAAGTATAAAAAAATAAAATAAAAAAAACTGTTATGTAATTTCATCAAATTTGAATTATGTAAAATTGAGCTGTGTTGTCTCTTAAAGGTGCATTGTGTAACTTTTTGGGTGGGGGTCCTTCACCTCCTGTTTTCCATAGATATGTCATTGCTCTGCCTGGAATGTTCCACACATTTTTTCCATTACAGGTGGTTTTACAGCTAAAAATATCAAAAAATAAATAAACCAAAAACAAAAAAACAGACATTCTGACTGTGAGTGTGGTTGCCTCTCCACAGATCTGACCTGTAACTTGGTCTGATTTGGTCTCCATGAAGATAGAAAGGTTTAAAGCCATACTGTGAAACATTCCAGATAAAGCAGTAACAACTCCATGGAGAAAAATATTTCACGGACCGTCCACCTGAAAAGTTACAGAATGCACCTTTTAAAAGTGTCCAGCAGGTTCACTTGATGCGGAAGCTCAGCTCTTTTAATGTATCGTCTAACATTTTAAATAATTTTTATCATTCTTTTATCGAAAGTTTGCTGACTTTTTCTTTTATTTCTTGGTTTTATGGATTATCTGTGAAGGACCAGAACAGTCTGAACCAGATAGTAAAAGTGTGCAGCAAAATCAGTGGTGTTCAGATGGAGGATTTGGCCTCTGCGTGGAGACATCGGGTGCTCCAAAAGACTAAGGCCATACTGAACCAGCCTAACCATGTTCTGCACTCACAGTTCATGAACATGCCCTCTGGGAGGCGCTATGTCACCCCACAGCAAAAGACCAACCACCATGCCAAATCTTTTATTCCTTCTGCCATGAGGCTTTTAAATAGAAAGTAAATTTGCTATTGTGTCCCTGATGCACTGTGGTTTGAATGTATGGTGTCTGTCTTTCCTTTTCTTGAGATGTGCGAACAGAATTGCCCTTTGGGATTAATAAAGTTGTTGATTGATTGATTGCTTTACTTACTGTTTGCATCCCTTTTGCATCTTAGCCGGGGAGAACGTCGAGATCGAATGGCCCGAACTTGACGATCTGAGTGCGCCACATCCAGCTGCAGGTGGGGTACACGGACCTGCAAGCCAAGGTGGACTCTCTGTTGGCCGAGAATGACAGACTGAAGGAGGATTTGTACCGCGCCCTGCCCCGATTCTCCTACTCCTCTCTGAAAGGGGACGACGCACAGCTCATGTTCCTCAGCGGGCTCCACTCGCTCGTTTTCGACTGGCTGGTAACGCAAATCACGGCCAGAACCCAAAGACTAAACCTTGAGCTAAACACGCAAGATCATCTTTTAATCGTACTGATGAAGCTGAAGCTAGGACTTTGCGATAGGGACTTGGGGTATAGATTCAGAATACGAGAAAGTTCTGTCACGACCATTTGTCAAACGTGGATACCCGCTGTTGCTTTCATGTTGAAGCCTCTTATAGCTTGGCCGAATGTTGAAACAGTCGCGAAGCAAAGGCCAGCTATGTTTGAACGTAAATTTAGCAAATGTAGAGGTATCATTGACTTCCCAGAGTTCATTGTCACTAAAACTACTGACAAAGCGCCAGAAAACACTACAGTTAGATATTTCTCGAGCGTCACTCCAGCAGGAACAGTTTCGTTTTTGTCTTCGGGGTATAGCGAAGACATGTCCAAAAGTCAAATCGCAAAGGAATGTGGATTCTTACATTTGTTGGAGCGGCAAGACGAGATTTTATCACGCAAGAAGATTAACGTAAAAGACGATCTAGCTTCTCTCGGCGCCACCCTGCATACACCAGAGTACGTCGACGGAAAATTGGTGCCCAAAAGTGACCTCGAAAAAATGGTTTGGACTCACGCGAAGAACGTGATCGGGTGGTGGAAGGACTTCAAATTGCTGGAAAAGGTTGTCCCAGAAACCTACGGGAACTTGTTGGATGATGTGCTGACAGTTTGCGCGGCGCTTACCAATGTGAATTTGAGCGTGTTTCCAAATTCCAGTGATAAAAAATCATAAAGTTCTGAAGAAATATGGCTAAAAAACAGTTATGCAAGTTAAGTAAGATGGCTTTACACAGCGATAGACCACGCCAATATTTGCACTAACTACTTTAACTACTTTAATCTCGAGCAGAAGCCGATATTTTTTTCTTTTGGCCCAACCAGCTGCCTCCAATACATATAAAGAATAAACGCAAACCTTTTTTTAGAATACTTAAGCTCAAGAAGGTATTGCAAAAATGTAACTACACTGATTCCTTATCCAGTTTGTACTAAAGCAACTCACCCAAAAAAATTACAGTTTGAACGCTCACATTGTCCAGTTGCAAAGAGAATTGGTGTATGGAGTAACGGTTTCTGAGATATCGCAATCAAATTTTTAAACATTTTTTCAAATTACTCCATTGCTGCATTTACTCCGCAGCTACTGGTCCGAATATCAAAAACCAAGGTATCTCTGGAAGGGTAAATCATAAGGAATCCAAATCCAAATCAGTTATCTTTGCATTTGAGTACTTTAGAGATGAATTACCTTTTGACTTATAACTTAATCTTGAAATTGACAATAAGGGACACGCCCGACCTCAATGACAACAATAGAAAAAAATGGACCCCAATATGTCTACTACAACATATAAAAAATCTGGAGGGGTTGTCTTTTTTATTTTCACACTTATTTACCTAGAAGTTGACATCTTAAGACTTGCCATAATTTCCCCTTTCCAGAGATAGCTTGGTTTTTGATATCGGATCAGTCAGTAGTTGCTGAGTAAATGCAATTTGAAATTCGGCGACCACACAAAAAAGTGAAAAAATTAAATTGTAATATCTCGGAAACTGTTGGTCCGATCAGATTTGATAATTTGAGTAAAACTGACTTAACTGGCCTTACATATTGGACATCGGTTTCTCTGGATCCTCTCGGCATTGACCATGAAAAGAAAAATCGGTTTAGCTCTCTCTCAGGTTTCTCTTTTGTAATTTTATATGTGACTATACCAAACACAACAGACGCTCACCTCCTGCCTTTTTGTGAAATGCAATATGGATTTCATTTGCCGTAGTATGGTAAAATATTGTCTTTCTGAAAACTGGAAAAATATATGTTGATATTGTGAATGGTTTTGGTAGGCTGAAATAGTTTTTTGTGATTTAAAATTACGTTTCAGCAGTGTTGATATACAATAAAGTATATAGTTTATATAAAAAGTAAATTTGTTGAAGTTTCTTGTACACTGACGTGAATTTCAGTTGGTATAGTTCAATGGTAACTTAACAACTCTCTGTGCTTTCCTTGCTGGTATTCTTCCTTACTGTAATTCTGAATGTATATGACAGAATTAAGTGCAGATAAATTCAGTGTACAATTTTTGGCATTTTTACAAAAATAAAAATTAAATGATAATAAATACTGACATAAAACTGTCATAATTAATAATAAAAACAAATAAACTCCAGAAATACTTTTTATTAACACATCTTGTACAGGTTGTTTTTAAACAAAATCAGTATTTGCATGATTCAAGCTCCTGAGAAGTGCAAGGTAGATAGAATGTCAGATTCTCTCAAAGTATTATCTAATAGTAGTACAATTTATAAATCAGTATAACCAAGTAAATCAAGTAATATGTACACTGAGATTCCTGAGTGATTTTTGTTAATCAGACACATAAACGTAAGTATTAAATAAGATGAAAATGATTCCATATCAAACCAATCAAAAGCTGAAAACCAAGTATTAAGGGAATGTTGGCCCTAGTTCCCTGGTTGTGACTGACTGCCTTACAGTTGAGATTACTCTTGTGCCCTACACTCTCCAGCACAAAGATCTTATTACATTTCAGCGCTCCATAGGATGTTGCCACAATTTTAATTATTTTGAACGTTTCATAGGGAGGAATAAGCACTTCTTCCTCACTTGGATACGTAGAGAAATTACCAATGTACGCTCCTAAGCAGGTCTTGATATGAAAACAAGTCACTGAACCAAAAATAATGTCATTCATATTAGGGCGCAAAGAAGAGGAAGCCAAGTTGCCAAAGCGCATTGTTGTGTTGACAATTCCATTATACACATTTTTGGTTCTTCTGTAAGTAGTTTGGCAGGAATTCATGATCTGTAAGGCAGACGTAATCCAAAAGTATAAAGCATGATATTGGAAGGCAGTAGTGTTGTAATTGGGTGCACCAGTTCTCAGTGCTGTGTTTAGTTGTTCGTAAACCTTTGGACTTTCAAGTGTGTAAATGCATAGAGCCTTTGTGTGATTGATAGTCAGTTCTTTGGATTTTGTCTGCAGTGTTTCTAGTTTTTTAAGTGCACATGATGTCGCCTTCTTCCATGCATCTCGAAATGGAGATATCTGGATCTCTCTTGGGAAGTAAACCTCTTGCACTTGTGTAGCCATTTTGTCAATGCAGTTGGAGAACATGTCATCAATGCTTTGGTTCATCATGCTCAGTTCAATTGTGCCTAATTGTGGAGGCTCCTAGAAAGATTCAATTGACATGGCTCATCAATGAGTAATTATCATGTTTTATTCAGAAAAATATTACTGATTTAAAAATACACACCTTTGCATAGGCAATGGAGAGCGTCAGGCAAAGCACAAAGTTCAGCATGATCTTCCGTTCTCCAAACACTTGAACAAGATGAGATATGAGTGAAATTTTGCTTTTGAGAGATGCAACTGAGAAACTGGAGATACAGAGACTTTTCTGGTAGAGGGTCCACCACAAGTTTGTTGCTTTCCTTGGAATGTTCCACAGTAGAGCTTAAAACATTGCATTTATTTGAATAGAGATGTATTCATTGTGAAAAAAAAATACTTAAAAATATATACAAAATATAGACAATAAACACTAATCTTGAAAGCCCTTATGCCACTGACACCATAACCGTCATGGCTGACACCCCCATGCTAAAACTAAATGTACGTTATTGTTAATGAACATGAGATACAATAAATAATTCTTCACACTGTTTCAGATCATCAAACAAATTTAAATGTTAAACAAAGATAACCCAAGTAAACATAAAATGCAGTTTTTCTGTGATGATTTTATTTGTAAGAGAAAAATACTATCCAAACCTACATGATCCTGTGTGAAAAAGTAATTCCACCCCTTGTTAAATGATGAGGGAACTGTCATTAATCATATTGTTGTGGAAAGCTTCAGTTTCTTAGCCATACCCAGGCCCGATTGTGGCCAGATCTTTCAAATCAAGGGATCACTTAAAAAGAACCTGTCTGACAAGGTGAAGTAGGCCATATTGAACGAAGACATCATGCTGCGATCCAAAGAAATTCAGGAGCAGCTAAGAAGAAAAATAACTGACATGTCTCAGTCTGGAAAAGGTTATAAAACCATTTCTAAATCTTTGAGACTCCAGTGAACCACGGTGAGAGCCATTACCCACAAATGGAGAAAGCATGGTACAGTGGCGAACCTTCCCAGGAGTGGCTGGTCTACAAAAATTACCCCAAGAGTGACAACTGATCCAAGAGGTCACAAAGGAACCCAGAACATCTAAACAACTGCAGGCCTCACTTGCCTCAGTAAAGGTCAGTGTTGTTCATGACTCAACCATAAGAAAAAGACTCAGCAAAAATAGCAGCATGGCAGTTCCAAGGCGAAAGCAGCTGCTGACAAAAAAGAACATAAAGGCTCATTTCACTTTTGCCCAAAAACATCTTGATGGTCCCCAGAGCATTTGGGAAAATATTCAGTGGACTGATGAAACAAAAGTTTAACTTTTTGGAAGGAGTGCATCCCGTTAAATCTGCCGTAAATGAACACAGTATTTGATAAAAAGAACATCATACCTACAGTAAAATGTGGTGATAAGTGTCATGTTTTGGGGCTGTTTTGCTCCTTCAGGACATGGATGACTTGCTGTGATTGAAGTAACCATGAACTCTGCTCTACCAACAAATCCTGGAGGAGAATGTCCAGCCATCAGTTTGTGACCTCAAGCTGAAGCGCACTTAGGCTTTACAGCAGGACAATGATTCAAAGAACACCAGCAAGTTCAGTTCTGAATGGCTTAAAAAAAAAAAAAACTAAATGAGGGGTTTGGAATGGCCTAGTTAAAGTCCAGACCTGAACCCAATTGAGATGCTGTGGCATGACCTTTTAAAAAGGCAGTTCATGCTTGGAAACCCTGCAATGTGGCCAATTTAAAACAATTCTGCCAAGAAGAGTGGGCCAAAATTCCTCCACAGTGATGTGAAAGACTCACTGCCAGTTATCGCAAACACTTGACTGCAGTTGCTGCACTGGGTGGTTCAACCAGTTATTAGGTTTGTGGGGCAGTTACTTTTTCACATGGGCCATGTAGGTTCAGATGGCTTTTTTTCCTTAAATAAATAAAATTGGAACTTAAAACTGCATTTTGTGCTGATTTGTGAGCTATCTTTGTCTAATATATAAGTTTGCTTGATTTTGAAGAGTGACAAAGGTGCCAAAAAAGTAAGAAATTGGCAAATATTTTTCACCGCACTGTATATGAAATGCTTCTTGAGCCAAAGATTTATTCAGCTCTCTACAGCCTAAATCATAGTACAGAAAAATAACACAGTTCGTCACTAGTATTCAAAGAAAAATGATTCTTGTGTCTATCATTTATTGTAGTCGATAGAGTAATTACTGTGACAGGCCTCCTTTCACAGATTTAAAATTATATTTTGAATTAAACATTTACTTTTAGGTAAAGATGAAAAATAAGTCTTACCTTTTCAAACTGAAGACAATATGAGTTTAATGCTAAGACTAGTAATTGCTGGTGATCCTCAGCTTGCTGAAGGCAGTGCAGTCACTGTGTCTGTATCACTTCCTCATTCAGGTAAACCCATTCTGCAGATAGAAGTGAAAGTAGTCAAAAAGGCAGTTACACTTAAATAATGTAAAAAATGTAATACTTTTTTTTTTTTTTTTTTTTTTTTTTTTTTTTTTAAATGGAAGTTGTTTATCTGTTGATTTTTTCACCGCTAAGGTTTATTTCATTTAACCTTACCTGAAAGTGACCCATAAAACAGGCAAAAATACAGCCACTATTTGCCTACATCAACACAGACGGGTTTCTCAAGTCACAGTTGTGTTATGAATAATCAGTCCAGTACAAATATAGCTGTTAGTGGGTTTATGTCTGCATAGATCTGACTGGTCATTTTGTCTGGTAGAGTTATCCACTTGTCTCAATGGAATGTCCCACAGTATATTATTAAACTTTGCAATTTTCATGGAGACAAGCACCCAGTTTTTCTATAGAAAATTTGTGAAATCCATAATGCTTTTCATTTTGCTTTGTTACTGCACAATTTTGAAAAAAAAAATTTAAAAATATATATTTTCTAACAAAGTAAAGATGTTAGTTGCTTATGATGGGGTCTTCTCTTTGCTGTTCAGTGAAAGCACCATGCATGACTATTTCAGTAATCATTTACTGACTGTCTCTGATAGTGGTTCAAAAATACATTACAACTTAAATGTTTTAAGTTGTAATGATGTTACGTTACAATATTAATGTTTGTTCAGAAAAGAAAAATAAATAATTAGAAATACCATTTTTACTTTGGGTACTCTGGGAAAACTTAAAGGTCCCATATTACTCTATATTTTAATCTAAGTTATAATGTTTCTTCATCAAAAACATAGCTGAAGTTGTTTTTTGTTTCTTTCACATGATTCTTGTTTAACACATACATTGTGCTTATTTAGGCTGAGTTCTTCTTTCAAACAGAAAACACAAGGTTCCAAATTGTGATGTTCTGTTGTAATGCAGGAAGTGCTCCACTGTGTTTTTTAAACTTTGTACACCTTCAAGAGAATCATTTGGATAAAATTAGACCTAGAATTTGCCCTCTGTACTAAACAAGAGGTAAAAGGTAACGGTTAACATCACATGGTGGAACAGAGCATTATGAGCTTTGGAGATGTAGACAGATTAATAATAAAGGATTACTCAAACTTGTGTGAATGAAACAAAACACAACTCCAGATTTGTTTTTGAGGAGGTAACAACATTCTAATATATTTTAAAATTCACAAGAGTCAGTTTTGCGTAATATAGGACCTTTCAATAGTCATTTCCTATTTTCATTTTCTTCATTTGCAAACAAAATCAAACAGAAATAAGATGGGTAGGTTTGTGATTGGGACTAAACAGAATGGATTATGTAATGATGTAATTACTAAATTGTTCATATTGAGGTAACTGGATACCTGCTCCATACATAGACCGTACATATGAGTGGACATAGCTAATGCGCTAGCCGCCGTGTGCCAAATAGAAAGTGTGCCAAGAGGCTCTTTCATTATTATTATTATTTTATTTATTTGAGACAGGGACAGTGCACAATTTTTACATTAACCTTAACAGGAGAGATGCATTGTACAAGGTTGTAGCACCAGTGCTCCTTTCCACCTGTCGTCCCTGGGCAGGTTCATTGATTGATTGTGTTTAACTGACCTTAACTATCAACTGTTCTTCCTGGAGACCTATGTAGCATGTTTTGGGTTCTTCCGGCCTCTTCGAACTCTGGCTCCAGTTGACTTACATTAGGATCTTGTGGCCCCTCTCTCTGTGGCTGCTGCAATGAGCCTCTTCATTTTGGTCTTAAAATGTTTGTATTAACCTGTAATCGTGAGCTTCATTTGAGTGGAGCTGAACACTGTGGGCGACGTCACACTCGCTTAGTTTACTTCTTTTATACAGTCTATGGCTCCATGTCAATCCAATCTAAATCTGAAAACCTACCATCCCATATCAAAGGATGGTTGAAAAATGCTTCCTGGTGTCATCGTAATTGTATTACTATTTACATATAATTAACTTATGAGGGTCAATGATTTTGGTGAACCTTCTGGAGCCAGAGCCGACTTTGAGGTGCAAATCCTTTGTGAATATTTCACTTCTGTTGCACTGCAAATCCAATTCCCATGACTACACTTTGAACTCTTAAACAAGGACAATACACAATTCAGGGTTTTTATTTTACATCCAAATGAATCATCAACATACAAGGAAATAAATACAATCGGTTAAATTCAAATAAATTTTCCCCCAAACCCTGGGTGGGACCACAGTCCTCACCAGACTGTGAGGACTGTAGTTAACTGTAAGTAATGTAAGCCATTAAATGAGTTCCATTTGTGGTACTGGTGGTGTGCAGATGCCATTGTCAGTGGACCATTACGTGATGGTCTGTTGGATCCAGTGCGTCACTGTAACATAAATGCAAAATATCTTGCATTTCCTGTTGTGTATGTGCAAAAAAAACAGACCTTGGGCCCTATCTTGCCCTCAATCTTTGCACTAGCGCAAGTGTGGGCGTTAAGCTCTAAACAAAAGGTGTGCCGTGCCTGAATATCAGGTGGAGTGGAGATTGTTACAAAATTTGGAAACTAATGATTCTCCACTAACCCAAGTAGAATAGCCACCCTCAATAAGGGTCCAAAATTGAGCCCATGCTAAGACCTGCAGGTCACAAGAACTGAATGAACAAGAGACATGAACTAGGGAAGTGTACTTTTATTACATACAAGTATTTTTAAAAGGACATTTCATAATTCATTCATACTTGAATAATAGCTAAAAATAGATTAAAAAAACAAAAAACCTCCAGTCTCTCATTCAAAGTGGTCAGCTGAAGTTTTAGAAGGCTGTACACAGCCTACACAGCTGCACACAAACACCACTGCTTCAGAGTCACTGTGCAGTGGATCAATGGAAATGCTCCTTCGAAGGACCTACTGCACATACAGTGCAGAGAAGCAAAGGGTGGACAAAAGGGGAGACTCGTGCCAATCCTGTAGCAGTGAATTAGAAATGAATTGACAGGTTTGTCCTAGTTTAGCCACCAGATGTTTGGCCACTGAAGCAGCGACTCACGCTGTTTGAGGAAGTTATGTCAAACATACTCTTCAGCCTGGTAGCTCTGCTGCTTCTGTCAGTGAACTTGATGGAGTCTCCTGAAATGGTTTTCACTCATACTGCATCTGGGTCCAGAAATGCCATAAGTTCAAACCAGGGTTAAAAGCAAAGGGTGATTTTTTTTTTTTATCGATACTTTTATATACATATATATATGTGTGTGTGTGTGTGTGTGTGTGTATTAGTAATAATGGAAATAAAGAGGAGGAAAAATACATGAAAAAGCGTGTCCAGACTTTTGACTGGTAGTGTATAATAATGTATCATTGCACAGTGATACAGTGATGTTTAATTTCCATTTGTGCTCACTTGTCTTTTTAAAAATCATGTTTAATACACTAGGAAAAGATTGGGGCAGTTTATATATCAGTACATTATATCTGATCAATCTTATCAGACTGCATATTATTTAATACCAGTTCATTTAAAGGTGCACTATGTAACTTTTTCAGTGGAGGGTATGCCACCTTTTTTGTTTCAATGGAGATATTATTGCGTTGCCTGGATTGTTCTTTAGTATGCCATTAAACTTTTAAATCTAGCATTTAATCTGTCTGTCTGTCTGTCTGATAATCTTATTTCTCATTTTCTGTTAAGAATAGTAAAATAATTCCATGAAAATTAACACCATGACACCAAGCCTCCTCAACCACATTGAAACTGCTTTGTTCATTACACAAACTGACCCTTAAAGTCCTTGACAAAAAGCCCAAACACTGGCACCACTGTGAAATTTTAAAGAAAAATTAATTTTTTAACTTTTAACAATTTTAATAATCTTAAATTCCTTTTTAAGTGACTTAACTGTGATACACCACTGTATTTAGAATTTGCCAAGACCATAACACGTACACACAGAGTGAACACAAGAGGAGCTACTAATGGTAATTGCGTTGTTTCTATGTACAGTCTTTCTCTTTTAAAGGGGCCAGACTGGACAAACTGTGTACCAGCTAATTTAAAATTGGAAACCAATAACAATAAATTTAAAAGTAAATGTTTGTTTCCAATCAAAAATGCATCCATTGAAAATGTACTGTATATATTTTATCTCTATGTAACTTATCTGTCTTGTATTCTCTGTTTTTACACACGTAATTTATATTTTTATATGGACAGGTGTTGAAAACTTGTGCTAAAACACTCAAAGCAATGCATCTGGTTTGTCTAATGCTATTGTGATGCCCTTCATAAACATAAATAAAAATAAATGATAACATAGTTAATAATAAAAACAAAGAGACTCCAGAGATACTTTTTTATTAAAACATCTTGTACAAGTAGTTCTTAAAAAGAGTCAATGATTGCATGATTTATGGCCCTCAGAAGTTCAAGGTGATTAAAATATCAAATTCTCTGAAAGTATTATCTAATAGCAGTACGATTTATAAATCAATATAACCAAGTAAATTAAGTAATCGATCAACATATACACTGTGATTCTTGAGTGACTTTTGCAGATCAGGCACATAAAAGTAAGTATTAAATAAGATGAAAATGATTACAAACTAATGAAAAGCTGATTACATGTAATTACTAAATGGTTCATATTGAGGTAACTGGATACCGGCTCCATGTCAATCCAATCAAAATCTGAAAACCTATTGTCAAAGCTCGGTTAGCTCTCATTTTCTGGTTGTGATTGGCTGCTTTACAGTTGAGTTTGCTGCTCTGTCCTTCACTCTCTAACACAAAGATTTTTGTACATTCCAACTTTTCATAAGAGTTTGGTACAATCTTGGTTATTTTGAACTTCTCATAGGGTGGAATAAGCACTTCTTCTTCAGCAAATTCTGAGTACTTATCAATGTTCGCTCCTAATCTGGTCTTGATGTGAAAACAAGTCTCTGAACCAAAATCATCCAGACTGGAATTCAAAGAACTAGAAGCAAAGTGACCAAAGCGAATTGTTTGATTGACTTGCCCATTATAAACATCACCTGTTTTTCTGTAAGTTTGTACAATACTTTGATCGGGTTTCAAGATCTGTAGAGCAGTAGTGATCCAAAAGTATAAAGCATGATACTGGAAATTGCTAGTGCTGTAATTGGCTGCACCATTTCTCAGGGCTGCATTTAGAGGTCGATAAATGTTTGGTTCTTCTTCTGTGTAGACACAAAGGGCTCTAGTGTGATTAATTGTTAGTTGACTGTACATTCTCTGCAGGTTTTGTAGTTTCCTTATGGAACAAGTTTCTGATTTTTCCCAAGCCGCTTTAAATTCCTCATTCTTGATCTCTCTTGGGAAGTAAACCTTTTGGACTTGTTCCTCCATTTTTTCCTTGCAGTTGTCGAACATGTCGTCAATACATTGGTTCATCATACTCAAGTTAAATGTACGTGGTGATGGTGAAGGCTCCTAAGGTTTTGAGTAAGGCACAGTTTTACAAAAAGTGCACGAACAAGGAATTTGGAAAGCAAAATGTTATTACCTGCGCAGAGCCAATGGACATCATGGTGCCCAGAAGGAATGGAAGCAGAAGAGTCTTCATTTCTGCTTTGAAACATTTAAAATATTATACGCCATCAATATGATCAAAATACACACACATAAATGTCTGAAATATTCTTACCTTTGTTTGATAGTGACTTTGTACTGTCCTAGAACTAGTACTAGTGTTCACATCCTTAAATACTTGAACAATGCTTCCTGGTGTCATCGTAACTGTTTTACTATTCACATATAATTAACTTATCTTAACTTAATATTTCACTTCTGTCGCACTGCAAATGTCATCGGCATGACTACGCTTTGAATTCTTAAACAAGGACAGTGCACAATGCGGGGTTTTTTAGTTTACATCCAAGTGAATCATCAACATACAAGGAAATAAAAGCAAGTTATATTCAAACACATTTCCCCCCAAACCCTTGACTTTAATTTCACTTTTCCTGGTCAGAGAAGTTCAGATCTGAAGTTTAGATTATTTTCCATCCTATTCCGTGATCCGGGTTCATGTTTGTTCATTTTCTGCCATGTATATGAAAAAGTCTACTTGCTGTTTCACTAAATTATGTAAATCATTGTGTAGCCCTTATAACCAATGTCTATTTTTGTCTGTTTTCTAAAGCTAATGTTTCACCTTTTTTGTTTCCATGGAGATATTATTGCATTGCCTGAATAGTTCTGTAGTACGCCATTAAACTTTTTAATCTAGCACTTAATTGCAGATGTTTTAGTACTCATGAATACCCTGAAAAACATAAATTCTTGCTGTTAATGGGCTTGTTTCTGCACAGATTTGACCCGTAACTCTGCCAGGTAGCGTCACCTGCTTGTCACCATGGAGACTGCCATGTTTAATGTCATACTGTGGGACATTCCAGCCAAATCAATAACTTCTCCATCGAAACAAGCACGTGGTAGAACCTCCACCAGAAACTTTAAGCAATGTACTTTTTATAAAGACAAAACAAAGTAAACAAACAACAACAAAACATTGCCATTTGTGGTCATTTTATTTGGTAAAAGCCAAATAAACTCAAGTCTGTGAACTTTATAGTGCAACACAACAGGCAGATAAACCAGTCATAACACATAGAAGCCGTCTATCTGATAATCTTATTTCTCATTTACTGTTTGGTAGTTTTGGTTTTGTTGTTGGTGCTGTCTGTTCAATATGCTCCAGTCAAATTTGATGGTTATTGCTGTTGTTTCAGTTGATGTCAGATAAGGGTCATGTTTATTGGCAAGTTGCACGTAAGACCAACGTGAACTCATAAATGCAAGAAATGAGATAAACATTTTGGTCCAAAGGCTTTAGTACACAGGTTAGACTTAAAGGTGCACTATGTAACATTTTTGGTAGAGGGTCTGCCAGCTGTTTGGCTCCATGTAAATGTTATTGTTTTTCCTGTAATGTTCTACAGTATTGCATTTATCTCCATGGAGACAAGAAGCAACATCACAAGGCCAAGTTACAGGTCAGATCTGTGGAGAAGTGGGCCCGCTCACTGTAAGAATGCATCTCTTTGTGAATGTTTTGAGAAATAAAAACACTTGCAAATGAATAAGTAGAAGATATATGTGTTTAATGCCACACTGTGCTCAAGCAAAGCAAAGCAGGTTACATGTCCACGGCTACTTTGTTTGTTTGAGTCTTTAGCCTCCTTGTATTTGGCTCGTAGGCTCTTTATTTTTCGTTGGAGTCAGGACCACCTGTAGCCGCACTCAGACATTCCTTTGGCAGTCATTTCTAAAACGGCGCAATTCTGTTAAGATCCCTCCAAATACAGCGATCCCCCCAAATATTAATGAACTCGTTAACCTCACTTTCCCTCCATTGGCTAGACTCGGAGCCAGACGTGTAGGTGGGATGAATGCGACCTGGCCGTTCACATGTCAAAATATCAGATATGTATCGGTTTTAGGAGCACATATCCAAGTGGCCTGGGTCGCATTTGAAAAATTTGGATCTGTGTCATTAAAAGATCAGATTTGGGTCACTTCAGGCTGCAGTCTGAACGTAGTCTTTAATGCACGCTATATAATTTGAAGCAGGCAGTTTCACAAAAATACTTTCACAATTGTTTGTTCAATTTGTGACAATTCCCAAATTCCCCAATGACCATCCAACCAAAACCTGCAAAACAACAATCAGGGCAAAACTAGCTTGGATTCTCTGGTTGTGATTGGCTGCCTTACAGTTGAGATTAGTGCTGTACCCTTCACTCTCCAGTACAAATATCTTCTTACACTTTAGCTTCCCATAGGAGCCTGACACAATATCGACGATTCGAAACTTCTCGTAGGTGGGCACCAGCACTTCTTCCTCACTTGGCACCACCGAGTAGTCACCGATGTACGCGCCAAAGCAGGTTTTAATATGAAAACAGCTCTCTTCGCCATATTCTACCACGTTTGGGTTGCGCGAAGATGAAGCAAATTGACCAAAACGCATTGTGGTGTTGATTTTTCCATCGAAAACACTATGGGTTCTTCTGTATGCTGTTTCACAAGATCTCTGAAGAATCTGTAAAGCAGAAGTTAGCCAGAAGTACAAAGCGTGGTACTGGAATCCGGAAGTGTTGTACATCGTGGCTCTGTTTCTAACTTCATTATTGAGTTGTGAGTACAGTTTTGTTGAAGCGTTGGTGTAGGCACATATCGCTTGCAGATTATCTTTTGTTAGCGCCTTGTGTTCAGCTGGGAGCTTGTCTAGGTTGGTTTTAGCGCACGGTTCGGCCAGATTCCAGGCGTTTTGAAATGGAGAGTTCTGGATCTCTCTAGGGAAGTAGACTTCTCGGACTTTGGTAGCCATCTTCTCGCTGCAGCCGGTGAACATGTCGTCAATGCTTTGGTTCATCATGCTTAACTCGATTGTTTGGTTCTGAAAAAGGTCAAAATATAGTGTTAATATTTCTAAGTAGATCTCTGAGTACGTCAGATGAAGATAAAGAGGCAGAGAGCTTCACTGGGTCGTAAAGAGTTAAACATAGCAGAACAGGTGCTCTACGAGACACACTATGGACACACCTACTTTCATGTCCTGTTATTCTTGTAACATTCCAGACAAACCAATGACATTTTCATGAGACAAACAAGTGACAGATCCCCCACTAGAAAAGTTGCACAGTGTACCTTTAAATACTGAAATCCCCCCCTTTTTGTGTCACCAATTAAGGTTTCAGACAGTTTACTTTTGTGAGCACAATTTTCATATACACTACTGGTCAAAAGTTTTAAAACACCCTCATTTTTCCCGTTATTTATTGCAATTGAAATGGTACAAAAGTAAGAACTGAACAGACAGAGGTTAAAAAAAATAAAAAGGTAAAAGATACAAAACACAAGTCCAAGCTCTGCCAAAACTACCTCAGGAAAAAAGAACAAGATGGTAAAGCTTGAAAACATGGAGTGTCCAGCACAGTCTCCAGACTTAAACCCCATCGAGCTGGTTTGGGATGAACTGGACAGAAGAGTGAAGCAACCTACAAGTGCCACACATTTATGGAAACTTCTGCAACAAACTTGGGAAGAACTTTCTGAAGAATATTTGATTTCTATTGTAAAAAGAACGAGCCACGAGTGTGTTCAGCTGTTATATCTGCCAAAGGTGAACACTTTCATGAATCAAAAGTTTAAAATACTTTTTGGTTAACAGTTGAAACAGATAAAAACGGGAAAAAGTGTGGTGCTCTAAACTTTTGAACACCACGGTAGTGTATATATATATTTTTTGTTTATAATATTTTTCTTTCTATGGCAACTGAGCAAATTTGATTCTGAACCATGAATAAAAAAAAACTTAGACAATACATTTATAGTTAGTACAGCAGTTGTAGCAGTAGTAGTTGTTGTAGTAGCAGCAGCAGCAGCAGTAGTAGTAGTAATAGTATTTGTAATAGTAATAGTAGTACTACTAGTAGTAGTTGTAGTAGTAGTAATAGTAATAGTAATACTTCTTGTAGTAGTTGTTGTAGTTGTATTTGTAGTAGTTGTAGTATTTGTAGTAGTAGCAGTCGTAGTTGTAATAGTAATAGTAATAGTAGTAGTAATACTTCTTGTAGTGTATATATATTTTTTGTTTATAATTTTTTTTTTCCTATGGCAATTAAGCAAATTTTATTCTGACCCGTGGATAAAAAAAAAAAAAAAAACTAAGACAATGCATTTATAGTTAGTACAGTAGTTGTAGCAGCAGTAGTAGTAGTAGTAGTAGTTGTAGTAGTAGTTGTTGTAGTAGCAGCAGCAGCAGTAGTAGTAGTATTTGTAGTAGTAGTAGTAGTAGTAGTAGTTGTAGTAGTAGTTGTTGTAGAAGTAGAAGAAGTAGAAGTAGTAGTAGTAGTATTCTCACCTGTGCCGAAGCCGTAGGGGCCATGAGGCAAAGCACAAAGGTCAATATAACAGCCTCCATAAATGTATCTATAGACACAAAATACAAACTTGTAAGTTAAATGTTAACACTTAAGTAATAAAATAAAAGACTCACTCACCTTGTTTCAGTTTTGTCACTCTGCTTGTTTGCGCTCTCTGCTCCTTGTGAACTGTGTGCTAATGAGCGACCACATCTTATCTAATCAGTGTGGTTAGAAAGAGGAAGTTCTGTTGTTGTGTGCAGGAAACAGTCTCAAGATGAACTCATAGACAGAAAGTGTAAGAGAAGATTTGGAAATCTGGTTCACATACCTGACTGAAATGTGAAGTTAAACTGTAACTACTGATTAAATAAACCTTTAATAATGTTTGTACAAGTCCAAACTCCAGCATTAGCAGCGTTTAGAAGATAATCCGTATTTTGTTATTTTTTGCATTATATCAGGGGTGTCCAAACTTTTTCCATCAAGGGTCACATATCTAAACACAGACGAAGCAGAGGGCCGCTCGATGGCCGTATAGACTGTTACTCAGTACAGTGAATATCGTATTTTTCTGACTATAAGTTGCTCTGAAGTATGTTGCACCAGCCAAAAAATGCACAATGAAGAAGAAAAAAACATATATAAAGTGCACATGACTAAAAGTCGCACTTTTTGGGGAAATGTATTTTATAAAATCAGAGCCCAGGAACTGACATTTCATCTTGAAAGGCAAGTTACAGTAATATCAATAGAACAGAGAACAACAGACTGAATAGGCGTTAATATGTTAACATAATAGTTATTCAGATAATTATAGAATAAACAACAGAACATAAGTTTACCAAACTCACTGTCTCACTCCAAATCACTAAATCCATTAGATCCACTAGAGAGATTACAACAGCACATTAAACTTATGAGTGAGTAAATAATACAGGGGTGTCAAACTCAAATTCACAGAGGCCAAAATGTAAAACTGGGACTAAGTCGTGGACCAAACTAAATATTTACTGAAAAATTTCAACAACATCTGCATGTTTTCTCTTCTTTCGAAATATGTAATGTCAAACCTTTTCTTATTAAAATAAATGTTTTTATAATAGTTTTGTTTAAACATTGAATCCAGAACAAGCATAAGATAAAATAATAACAAAATTTGGTAACACTTTGGTTTAGGGACCACATATTAATTACTAACTAAGTGGTAATTGGTTTGTTAATTAGCTGTTACTTAGCTGTTAGTTGGCATTAATCAAACACTTATTAATGCTTAATAAAATTTCATTGTATGCACAAAAACATCGATTGTAATCTCCAATACTTTAATGGGAAGAAAATAGTTAATGGGTTAGTACTTGCAAAATACGGCCTTAAACAAAAATGCATTAAAAGTACTTTATAAATACAAACATAGATGTAATTAAGCACTTATTATGCATTGTACTATTAACTAGCTGTTAATATGTGGTCCCTAATCTAAAGTGTTACCCAAAATTTTAAATAAATAATGTCTCTATAGTCTATATAATCTGTAGCCGGTGGGCAGCTCTAATACATATTTAATATGATCTCGTGGGCCAAATATAATTATATCGTGGGCCAACTTTGGACTCCGGGCCTGAGTTTGACATGTCTGAAATAATATGTGTCAAAAGGTATACCAACCTGTGCAGCAGTAACTGATAAAAGCAGACAAATCACAATAGTCAACGCAATGGTCTTAATTTCTGTAATCAAACTAAAAAAGATGTGTTAATGGTCAGAGTGCTCATCCTCCAGACACTCCTATCAGCTGTGTCCATGGGCAAGACACTTCACTTTCAAGTTAAGTGGAGTGTATAAGTGATTATTGGTGGTTTTGTGGGCCCAGGTGCAGATTGGCAGCCTTGCTTCAGTCACTCTACCCCAGTGCAGCTGTGAAAGCACATAAATGAAGTAGGGCCCGACCGATATATCAGTTGGCCGATATTATCAGATGATATGGGCACTTGGAGACATAACGGCTATCGGCCTAAATCTTGCCGATATGGGCCGATAGTCCATGTGGGCTCGTTATAGCTTAGACTGAGACTTGAGTGAATGAATAATGAACTATAAAGCGCTTTGGGTATCTTGAAAGGTGCTATATAAATGCAATGATTAATTAATTAATTAGACTCTCTCTATTATATCCATTTAATACAATTTACAGGCAGATAAATGTCCTAATATGTGGTGCCGCCTCAATATTTACCTGCGGAGTAATTTGTCTGTGTCTGTGATGCTGTACTGCCCCTGAACGCACTCCCAGAGTCACGTCACTCTCGTGCACTTGTTTTCACACCGCCGACAGACGTTTAGAAACATGTCGATGAGGACTTCCTTTGGGCTCTGTCAGCAATAGTAACTCTCACTAAATCTGTGAAAACTGAGAAAATGACCCAGTTTTCTTAATCTATATGTCATTGTATTCTTTCTTTTCTCCTTTTATAAATTTCCTAATCATTTGTGTATTATAATGTAAATAACTTAATAAATAATAATAAAAAAAAGTCATTGTGGCGTTCTGTTATGTTCGTCAGATCGACAATTACAACCAGACGCCTGTAAGTGACATGGAAGATGCGATTCACGTCAAGTCACATCCCCCATGGAAAGCTTTGGCAGGGTGTGAAGACGCTGCTGCCGAATCCACGATTTTATTACATGCCCAGTGTCGGTAACTACACCGGAAGTCATCATCCGCATGTTCAGAAACGTCTTCCGGAAAGCGTGAATAGAGCCTATAGAATCATATCTCAAATTCTCATCAAGTGACATTTTAACAATATCACAATAAATAAATATGTAGTTGCATAATTTAAATGACTGATGATGAATTCATTTGTTGCTGTGTGTTTTTAATGGCAAACCGTGACATGTTTTGGTGAACATCTGTGATCTTACTCAGAAGCGCCCTCCGACTGCTGGGACGTCTCATTTATCAGCTGAACTCACCGGATGTGGTCAGGTTCTGGTGTTACGGTTTCACTTTAACTTGCTTTTACTGGTTTTATTGTTTTATGACTGGTAGCATATGTCCTGTGTGGTCTTCTGTGAAACCATTTTTATAACTTCAACTTCACTTTCTCTTTCATGTGCAGATCTACTTACAAGAATCAGATTGCCTCCGAAGAACAGGATGTGGCAGAGACACACAGCATCAAAAACTGAAACTAGTTAAACATGTTAAAAAAGTGGTTTTCAGTGATTATAGCATTTTTAAAACAACAAAACGTAACATGGTGATCTAAATATGTTATTTGTTAGCAATCAGTACCCCATAGAAGTGTTTGGCGAGTGCTGCCTTCTATTTCAGCTCCTCACACTGCATTTTGGGCAATTTGATGAGAGAGGGGCAGAGCAGAACTGTCAGCGGGCCATTACATTGTGATCTGTTGGATCCAGTACGTCACTGTGACATGTAAAATGATGATGAAATGATGTTTTTCTTGTGTATGTTTCACAACAGATCTTGAATTTTAGAGATTACTGAAACTGGTTCAAGTTATGACATGAAGAGTCACCAAAAGATGTGGGGATTTAGTAACGAATTACTGGATTTTTTTATTTTTTTATTTTTTAAGGAGAAGCATAAATAATGATAATAAAAACAAAAAGCTAAGGTGATAGATCTCCTTGTACAGGGATAGGCTTCCTGCTGTGCTCAGAGTCTGGACTAAATATGAAATTTCATTTTTAAACATCCTAAATCTGAAAAATATTCGAAGGAGCAGCTGGTCTCTGTGCCAAAAGAAATAATAATAGAAATATAAATAGAAATAATAAATAAAGAGAGCCCATGCACCTCTCTGACTGGGTAGTCCACCTGTCAATCATGTCTATCTGAACCCAGGAAGAGTCACTCACCAGTGACCAGACTCACATCCTTGTAAAGTATTGAATATGTGTGTGTGGAGGCTGAGAGATCAATACAAAATTTGGAAACTAATGATTCTCCACTAACCCAAGCAGAAGGGCCCCCCTCAATAATGATCCACGCTAAGACCTGCAGGTCACAAGGACTGAATGAACAAGAGACATGATCAAGTGTTAAAAAAAATGTACTTTTTATTTCATACAAATATTTTAAAAGCACATTTCATAATAAAACAGACCAAAAACTATGCACTCTCATTCAAAGTGGTCAGCTGAAGTTTTAGAAGGCTGTTACCGGCCTACACAGCTGACCTACTGCACATACAGCGCAGAGAAGCAAAGGGTGGACAAAAGGGGAGACTCGTGCCAATCCTGTTGCAGTGAATTAGAAATGAATTGAGAGGTTTGTCCTAGTTTAGCCACCAGATGTTTGGCCATTGAAGCAGCGACTCACGGTGTTTGAGGAAGTTAAGTCAAACAGATTTTTCAGCCTGCTAGCTCTGCTTCTGTCAGTGAACTTGATGGAGTCTCCTGAAATGGTTTTCACTCATATGTGTGCAGCGTCAGGGTCAAGAAATGTCATACGTGCAAACCAGGTTTTATTGTGATATTTTGTTGTGCAGGTTGTTACACATAAATAATACACATATTTTAAAAGTAACACTGACTATAGTCTGTACAGCCTCTCTACTGCTTTGAACAGATTTGTAAACTTATGACATAAACATCATTGGTAAAGCAGTCAGATCCACTGACACACATTATGTCATTATGTCCTTGGGCAAGACAATCAACCCACCTCACCTGCAGTGACTATGTACACTGATGTGTGTGTGTGTGAATGAATGAGTGGTTCCTTAGTGTAAAGACAGACTACATCATAATAAATGATTACTCAAACATGTGTGAATAAAACAAAACACAACTCCAGGTTTATTTTTGATGAGGTAACAACATTATAAATTAAATCTGTCAGTAAATTTAAACATTAATAATTTCACATTTTTCATATGCTATATAATATGAGGAAGGCAGTCTCACAAAAATACTTTCACAGTTGTTTGTTCAATTTGTGACAATTCCCAAATGGCTCAATGACCATCCAAACACAGACTGTATAAAGAAGTCAGCTAAGCGAGTGTGACGTCACCCACAGCGTTCAGTTCCACTCAGATGAAGCTTGCGATGCTCACGGTTACAGGAGCGAATCTGAAGCCACGCTCAATATTATATGAATAGGACTTTTTGACAGACTAAATAGCGAGAAAAAAACACCAGGATCATGTAGAGCAGGTTAAGATGAACATTTTAAGACCAAAATGAAAAGGCTCACAGCAGCAGTTACAGAGAGAGAGCCACAATATTCCAATATTAGCTACATCCATTTAGATATATATACAGTCTATGCATCCAACCATTTAGGCCAATGCAATTTATGCTTGACAAATGGGCAAATTATTCTGTTAGGCACCCTCTGCTGTTAGAACGGCCATTGGCACAGACTGCCAGTCCGTCCCTGATTACAGTTGAGATTAGTGCTGTACCCTTCACTCTCCAGTACAAATATCTTTTTACACTTTAGCTCCCCATAGGAGTCTGACACAATATCGACGATTCGAAACTTCTCGTAGGTGGGCACCAGCACTTCCTCCTCACTTGGCACCACCGAGTAGTCACCAATGTACGCGCCGTAGCAGGTTTTAATATGAAAACAGCTCTCTTCGCCATATTCTACCACGTTTGGGTTGCGCGAAGTTGACGCAAAGTAACCAAAACGAATTGTGGTGCCGATTTTTCCATCATAAACACTACGGGTTCTTCTGTATGTTGTTTCACAGGCTCTCTGAAGAATCTGTAAAGCAGAAGTTAGCCAGAAGTACAAAGTGTGGTACTGAAATGCGGGAGTATCGTACATCGTGGCTCCGTTTCTGAGTTCTCTATTGAGTTGTGAGTACAGTTTTGTTGAAGCATCGGTGTAGGCGCATATCGCTTGCAGATTTTCTTTTGTTAGCTCCTTGTGTTCAGCTGGGAGCTTGTCTAAGTTGGTTTCAGCGCACGGTTCGGCCAGATTCCAGGCATTTTGAAATGGAGAGTTCTGGATCTCTCTAGGGAAGTAAACTTCTTGGACTTTGGTAGCCATCTTCTCGTTGCAGCCCGCGAACATATCGTCAATGGTTTGGCTCATTATGCTTAATTCAATTGGTTGGCTCTGGAAAAGGTCAGAATATAGTGTTAATATTTTGATTTCAATTGAGTAAATTTGATTCTGAAACCCATGGATAAACAACCAAAGAAATTGTGTTAATAGTTATAGTATTCTCACCTCTGCCGAAGCCGTAGGGGCCATGAGGCAAAGCACAAAGGTCAGTATGACAGTCTCCATGAATTTATCTATAGACACAAAATACAAGCTTTTAAGTTAAACACTTAAACAATAAAATAAAAGACAGTTAGAGCTTCACTCACCTTGTTTCAGTTTTGTCACTCTGCTTGTATTGTGCTCTCTGCTCCTTGTGTACTGAATATGAACGGTTTGCGAGTGTGTAGCTGCATCTTATTTTATCTTAAAGAGGAAGTTTTTATTTTACAGGAAATGGTCTCAAAATGAAAAGATGAGACAGAAAGTGAAAGAGAATATTTGGAAATTTTGTTCACATAACCGACTCAAGTGTGAAGTTAAACTGTACAAATTAAACAAACCCTTAATAATGTATATACAAGTCTAAACTACAGCATTAGCAACTTTTAAATAATCCATATTTTGTTATTGTTTGCATTATATTGTCTGATTGCTACTTTTGTCACTTTTGTTTACTTCTTTTTTAACTTAGCTATTGTGATGAATCTTGCACTTTTTCCTCTGACAGTGAAGTCAGTTACGCTTACGCTTTTTTCTGATCTATGTTATAATGTTTTTTTTCCTCATCACAAACAGACCTGGAGCTCTATTTTGTTTCATTCACACATGTTTAATATACAAAGCCTGCACATTTCGGCTGTGTTCTTCTCCTGAATGAAAACACTCTGTTCCACCTTGTGTTATGAGATAATAAAGGAAATGCTCAAATGTGTTTTTAAACTCCACACGCCTTCACTGAATCATTTGGATGATTTCAGCCCTGGAATAGTAATAGTAAATAGTAATAATAGTAAAATAGTAATAGTCAGTCTCTACAGAACTAAAGGTAAAAGGAGCTGTTAACTTAAACTACTGCTTCATTACATCAAAAGTAGTGTTTTCAGGCCGACAGAGAACCGTGCCGGTGCAGATTCCCGCACCTAATCTTGAACCGACTGACATGTTCACGCTGAAAATCAGAATGTTCAAGAACGGAAAAGTTGGTTCTCAGTGGAATGAAATCAAGTGGCAAGAAGATTGTGCAGTGGCCAGTGGAGGAGACCAAATATTTGTTATATCCGCCCCGTAAGGTTACATTTTTGGATTGGGCGTCACTGCCGCCTTCTCCACAGCAGATGTTGTAGCAAAGCTCGGCACAGATAAATAATGATTTGTATGAGTACAAATGCTCGCTGGTGTCAATGATGTGATCCATGATTGTTATTTTCCTCGCTGTGACATCCACTTTCCTATGGTCTTGTTTTTTATTGGTGGCAAATCCACACCCTCTGTTGATGACGCATCATGGGTTCACTTAAGTCAGGGGTGGGCAAACTTTTTGGCTCGGGGGCCACACAGGGTTCTAAGATTTGACTGAAGGGCCGGACAGAAGACGGGACATGACGTGTTCAGAGCCCGGCTCCATTGCACTTGTATTTACTCTCATGTAGGACGTATTCTGCACTACGCACTGCAACTTTTAGACATGTAAGTTCCAGAACTCATGAAAAGTGAAATGAGGTAAGGCCCACTGTACACCGAAGGCAAACATGTGTCCTGAGCACTTTCACAGAGCACGCAGACAACACAAAAAAATTGCCCAGTCAAAATCTAACTAAAACTTCAAAACTTTCTGTTACAGTAAACATGAACTAAATGATTTTGTTACACACAAATGCGGAAACAGTGTAGCCTTATGTCTTGAACACTTCTACCTCATTCATGGTCCGAATACACCGCCCGAAATGACTCCTGTCAATACTTTCCCATAAAGCATTGCGGCCAACAGAAGCCGCCGCACCTCAATGTATATATAGTGCGCCATCTACCGGGAAACGCCGGAAATGCAGGAAAAATAAAACATTAACAAGGTTTATTATTATTATTTATTCAAGTTCGGCGGGCAGGATTAAAAGGTTCAAAGGGCCGCATATGGCCCCCGGGCCGTAGTTTGCCCATCCCTGACTTAAGTCGTTCACGCGAGTCGTTCACCAGTGAGCACGTCGGTTCCCAGTGTAACCGATGTGGAAACCAGCACCGTTCTGACTGGCCTGAAAACAGCTAAAGTGGAACGGGGGAATTTGAGCTTTGGAGATATAGAGAGACTAATAATAAAGGGTGACTCAAACATGTGTGAATGAAACAAAACACAACTCTGGGCCTGTTTTTGAGGAGGAAACAACATTCTAACATGGCTATTAAGAGTCTATTTTGTATAACATAGGACCTTTAAGGTGTAAAACTTTAGGATAGACTGCAGTGTGTCACTGTGGTTGTCATCCCATATTTGTTTTAAAGGACATCATTTCTAAAATAGCCCAGAAAAGATCTCCATTAAAACAAATATGTGGTGCTTTGCTTGCAATGTTCCACAGTATGGCATTAAACTTTCCCATCTCCATAGCATAACTAGAAGATGCCACAGAGCCAAGTCACATTTCAAATTTTATTGAAATTACAGCACCACAGTCATTGTCAAGCATCAAGTCTGGTTGATTAGCATTAGAAAAGAGAAGTATGCACAGAAAGGTCAAATACAAAAACAGGAAGTTGTGAAATCTTGTGAAGTCTATACTGTTTTGAATCCTTCTTTGAATGCAGCCTTGCAGTTTAACCCACTGTGAATTCCCACACTCTTCAGCTCTATGATCTTCTCACACTCCAGATCCTTCTTTGGTTTCTCTGTAATTTTCGTTATCTTGAACATCTCATAGGGTGGAATGAGGACCTCTTCTTCATACTCAAAAAACGAAAAATGTCTGAGGAACGCGCCTAAACAGGTCCGAATTAAAAAACAAGTCTTCTTTCCGTAATTAAAGAGCTTTTGATCGAATGAACTTGAAGCGAAATGGCCAAAACGTACGATTTGTTTGATTTCACCGGTAAAAGTTTCCCTACTTCTCCTGATTGTGGAATGGCAAGTTTGGTTGTTGGTGGCAAGGATTTGTATGGCGCGAGTGAGCCAGAAGTGAAGAGAGTAGTATTTAAAGGAGCCAGTGGTGTAACCTTTTGCACTGGACTTGCCTTTTTCATTGAAGTCTTTGTAGGTGTCAGCTGCCGTGTAAACGCATATGGCTCGCAAGTGATTTTCGGTCAAATCTTTGTCAGTCGGTTTTAGTTTGCTCTGGGCTTTTTTGAAACACGAATCAGAATTTTTCCAAGCTTTTTTAAATCACTATTCTTCATCTCTTTGGGGAAGTATTTGTTTTGAACCTTTGCGGTCATTACATTGATGCAGCCAGAGTACATGTCGTCTACAGACTGGTCCATCATGCTCAGTTTGACCGGTGCAGGTGAGGTGAACTTCTGCTCCATGTAAAGTTCCACTGGTTCAAGGACCTGCATAGAAGAGCATATAAGAAAAAATAATGTCTTACTGGATGTTGAAAAGAGCATAAACTGACATATCGAGGAAAGGTGCACTATGTAACTGTAACTGCACGTGCTTGTCACCATGGAGATGTTATTGCTTTGCCTGGAATGTTCCACAGTCTGAGCTTATCTGAACTGTAACTTGGCCTGGTGCCGTCACATGTTTCTGTGGAGATAAGGTAAATGTTATACTACGGAGCATTCCATGCAAAGCAGTAACATCTCCATGGAGACAAGCAGGTGGTGAACCCTCCACCAGAAAAGTTACATTGGCTACGTTCAGACTGCAGGGCTTAATGCTCAATTTGGATTTTTTTGCGCCGTTCACATTTCCAATTAAATGCGACTTGTATGTGATCTCCACTGTGAACTTTAAACACCCCAAAAGTGTCCCGCATGCACGTTGGAGGACACAACGACGTCACATGCAGCGAGTTTGCTCAGTGTTTACAGAAGTCGCCTACACGCTGAGCTTGTCTCCCAAAATACGGTCCAGTTCTTCATAAAATAGACAGGTTACACGTCCACATCTGCTTCGTTTGTTTGAGTCTTTATCCTCCTTCTATTTGGCGCGCAGACTCTTTATTTTTTGTTGACACTGGAGCCAGAACCGTCTGTAGCCACGCTCGGACATTTCTTTGGCAATCATTTCAGAAAACGCCCGGTTCCGATAAGACTCCTCCAATTTGGCCTGAATACAGCGATTCCCCCCCAAATATTAACAAACTCGCTAACCTCGCTTTCCCTCCGTTGACTAGACTCTGAGCCTGATGTGTAGGCGGGATGAATGTGACCTGATCATTCAGATTCAAGTCCCATGTCAAAAGATCGGATATGTATCAGTTTCAGGAGCACATATCCAAATGGCCTGGGTCGCATTTGAAAAAATCTGATCTGTGTCATTCAGACTTCAGTCATTAAAAAATCAAGTACAGGAGCATAGGCAAAAAAATTTGGGTCACTTGAGGCTGCAGTCTGAACGCAGCCATAGTGCTTTTAACAATTCGAAACAAACTGTCACATCTTTTGAGTGGTCAAAAGTCCAAATGAGTTCAATTGCAAAAACATCCATCTTTCTCGGTTTTGAAAATTACCAAGAAGTATTTTCTTTTTGTTAACATCTTCTGTAGGTACTATGTGTACTTCATTTCTAGTGGATTTATTGAAGGAGATAGAATAACATTTTGATAACAGTAAAATACATTTGGCTTTTGAAAACATGCTTTACAAAGCAGAGGTGGGACCAAGTCTTTGTTTTGCAAGTCGCAAGTAAGTATCAAGTCTTTGATCTCAAGTCCGAGTCAAGTCCCAAGTCAAATACAGGCAAGTCCAAGTCGAGTCTTGAGTCACTGGCCCATAAGTCCAAGTCAAGTCCAAGTCGTCTGCTTTGAGTAAATTCAAGTCTTTAAACCAAAGTAACAAATATAGCTGAGATGTTTGCAATTTAGATGATTTTAAACTAAATTGATCTTAAAAAATCACAGTAAATGAGTATTTATATAAAAGTTGCAGAAATGCTGTTTTTTCCTTTTTAAATGTCTTGACAAAAGTTCAAATTATTACAGTCAGAACAGAAAGAGTTAAGATTTAAGAGTGCTATTGCTATTTTGTCAACTAGTCTTGTCAAGTCACAAGGCTCAAGTCGAAGTCGAGTCCCAAGTCTTATCTCATTTTATCAAGTCAAATCTCAAGTCCAAAAACAGCGACTCGAGTCTGACTCGAGTCCAAGTCACGACTCACAAGTCTCCACCTCTGTTACAAAGAGTAAACAGCCAGCCTCCGATGAATTTCTAATGGCACTCATTTGTTTTTGCAAATGATCTTATCTCTGTTTAAAAATGCTAAAGCTTCTAAGTCTAAGTTTTGAACTAATACTAAACCAGGCTCAAACCTACATACACATT